TTTTAGAAGAGGCGATTCTTCACCACTTGATGATGATAAACTCGAGCTTGGAGAATCTGGTATGTTTTCAACATGCTAAACATCTTGATTTTCTTCTCTACTTTCCAAATCCACAATAATTGAATTCTTTTCTTGAGTGGTATTTTTCCATTTTCATGCTTCTTTTTCGTTGAACTTCTCATCTCGGCTGTTTATTATCTTCTTTGAGGTAGGATTGCATAGCCTATATGCCTTCGAGCTTTCACTATAGCTAACAAAAACACACTTTTCAGATTTATCATCCAATTTACCTCTCTTCTCATCTGGAATATGGGAGTAAGCAATACTGCCAAAAATTCTTAGATGGTTAACACTTGGCTTTAAACCGCTCAAAGCTTCATAAGGAGTCATTCCTTGAACAACTTTTGTTGTAGCTCGATTTAGTAAATATACCACATATGATACTGCTTCACCCCAAAAAAATTTTGGCATCCCCTTTGTTGTCAACATACTTCGAGCCAACTCCATGATGGTTCTGTTTTTCCTTTCGGCAACTTGATCCATTTTGTTGTGGAGTCCCTCGAACAGTTTTTTGATGTCGAATACCATGCATGATCAAAAACTTCTTATAACTGATATACTCACCATCTTGATCAGATCGTATGGTTTTGATCTTGTAGCCACTTTCATTTTCGACAAGGGCTTTGAATGCTTTAAATCTTTCAAATGTTTCACTCTTTTCTTTTAGCAAATAAATCCATGTTTTCCTACTATAATCATTTATAAATGTCATAAATTAACGATTACCTCCCATTAATATGGTTTGCATTGGTCCACACAAATCTGTATGTACCAACTCAAGTGGCATTGAAGCTCTCCACGCCTTTCTAATGGGAAAAGGCTCTCGACAATGCTTTCCCAAAATGTAGGCTTCACAAACTCCATCTTCTCTATTGATTCTTGGCAAACCTTTCACCGTGTTCTTTTGACACGTGGGATAATGAGTTGAAACTCACGTATCCATATCTATAATGTCATAGCCACGATTCTTCATTCATCACGGCACTAAAACTGACCATCTTCTCATACATAAGTTTCAATGGAAACATTCTCTTTTGTGTCATTTGTACCATTGTAATCAACCCAACGTTTTTGTCTTTGACCACACAAACATCATTGTTGAAGCGTACATCATTTACCTTTTGTAGAATCTGTCAAACACTCAAAAGATTGTATTTAAGACCTAGAGCATAATATACATCAATAATCTTTTGCACTCCCTTCTTGCTTTTGACAAGAATGTCGCTTTTTCCTCTAACGTAATGCCTTTTTTTTTTTTTTTCCTTGCATTTTACCCTTATTTTTATTATCATTTCTCTTATCTAAATATTAATTATACCATTTACTTTAATTTTATTATTAATATCAATTTATCATAAAAGTGGGAAAAAAATAAAGTTGTAACTATCATTTTCTAAAATGGTTAACTTATTATAAAAACATTACTATTTATAATAAAACTTATTATACTCATTTTCAACTTTTTCACCGTAAATAATTCCCTTCTTTTTCAAACAATATATTTATGAAAAATTAATATTTACTTAAAATAAAAAACACCTTTTTTCATGTAATATATTCATGAAAAATTAAGAAATTACTTCAATTGTTTTAAAATATTCTATTTCAGATTTTTATTTAAATGATTAATATTAAAAATTAAAGGGAAATTTGCACAAATCTATTGGGGAGTATGTCATCAAATTAGTATGAATTTTTTTAATAAGAAAATGAATTAATTATAATTCAATAAGAAATGACATAATGGTCTCCGACCGTGTACTCCATTTAATTGTAGGGTGGGTTATGCCATTTTTATTATGTAGTGAAAAAAAAAAAAATTAGCCCAGTGTGCTGAAATTAGGGTGATAAATAAGTTGGCTCAACTTTTAAATTGCTAAATAATGAATGCTAATATATTATGTGAATACTTCCAACAAAAAAATAAGGGTCTTACAAATATTAAATATATATTATATAATTTTTTTAAAAGGTACATATATAATCTAGGCAAGGTAGGAGCGGATTCATAACTAAATTTGTTCCCACCACAAAACCGTTTCGGGTTTCCAATTATTTAACCATAACCGCTCCAAACCCATTTAATGGGCTACCAAATTAGCCCCATTAGGGGCGGGGCGGGACAGAAACCCGCCGGGTCGAAAAAAATTGCCATCCCTAAGTATGTTGGTATTTTGCAACAAAATGTCATAGTTAAAAAATATCGTCAACAAAATATACTTTATTCGCAAATTCGGACATAATTAAAATTCATGATGTACATAATATCAAAATTACATCTACATAATTATACTTCTGTGAGTTCTAAATATTGTAACTATTCATATTTTTGTAATGGTCACTTAGCAATTTTGTTTAGATTTGATTATTCAAGTCTAATTTTCCCACCCCTTGAAAATGTGTTTTATGGTAATTGCCGGATGCAATGTCTTAACTATAAAATTACCAGAATATCTTAAATTAAGCACATTGGTCCTTTAATGTTCTGAAACTCCAGTTAAGGAATAATCAGTAATCCAGAATAGATTTGATTATTAGACATGGAGAAACAATAGATTGGATAATTTTCAAATATGCTCATTTTTTATTTTTTATTTTTATTTTTATTTATTTATTTTTTTTTCGGAGAGAGAGAGAGAGAGAGAGACTAGCATGTATAACGGTAGCAACTCAATAGGCTACAAAGTTACCCATGTATATATATATATATATATATATATATATATATATATTTTGGCTAACAAATGTCCAGCCAAGCGGCCGCTAGATTTGCGGTTTTGAAAGATTAAGTTTTGCTCTTTCTAGTCACCTTTTGTCAACTAGAATCCAAGACTTGCAATGTTTCAGGTTGCAGCTATCACATGCTTGGCCTGCAATCAATGTTTTAGTACCAGGGAAATAGGGGTTGTTCCATATATCAACTGTCTTCTGATCAATATGACAGATTCTGAGCAAATTTAAGTTCCAGAAATTATTTATACTAAGCAACTAGATATTTGAATTTCTAGAAAATTTTTTACAAGCAACCAGATATTTTGAATATTAATTGCAGAGTTGGAGATATCTGTTGGCCTTTTATTCTACTTGAAAGTTGTGGTATTCATGTGTCCATGATTGTATGTGGTTACAACTCAGGGTCAATTTGACCTTTTTTGAGATTTCGCTGTTATATTATAATAAATATATTATATTACAAATATTTATTAATTTGAAATTTCACGTGACCCTTGTAACCCAGTGTAATTGTTTCAAGCCCGAGGGGGAGGTTAATGTAATCTATCACATAATTGTTCATAAAATGGGAAAATTATTGTTTTATATACTTTGGTCAATAGGTCTATCTGAAAAAAATAAAAAATAAGGGTCTAGTTGAACAATTTACCTTTGTGTAATTTGCCCAAGAAATCAGTGTAATTTACCTACAACTAGTATATATATTTGACATCAATAATCAGCTGCTAATTTCTCCATAAATATTCCAAAAACATTACTTTTCACGGCTAGGTACAAAAAAAAAATTGCTTCCCAAATAAATATTATAATTAAATTCTCCTTCAATAGCTATTTATATATGGGTTAAATGCAGGAAAACTCCCCCACATTATAGGTTTTGTTATCAACTCCTATTTTAAAAAAAAGATGCATGTTAGTCCCTATTTTTTAAGAAGGTGCAAATACCCCCACCACTTTTTGGCAAAAAACAAATTTTAAAACCTGTTTTTGCCCTTTTTCCTCCCCATGTTGCCCTTCTCACATTATGTGCATAAAACCCCTCCCTACCCTACACTACACCTCCTCCTTCTCAAAGTCATATTATGTATAATGTACATTATGTACACTATATCACCTGTTTTATTTATTTATTTTCAAAAATAAGTTTAACATCCCAAAGTCTCAATCTTTCTATCAATTTTTTCCTAATGTTAAAATAGTAGATACCAACACAAAATCCTAGTCCATCAAGTTCGCCAAACTGACATGGGAACAGGCTCGAGTTCAAGTTGTGCTAAAGTCCTATGCATGATGGCTTAGAGCTTCATGCCAAAATTGATTATTTAGGTGCTTCATACCAAAGTTACCCAAATTTTTGTTTCTTCCTTCGTTTTTTCTTTTCCCTTTTTAAGGCAAGTTTTATTTTTGACAAAAGGCTCAAAAAGGACTTAATCTCATGTGAGTAAGTTGTATGATTGCATATGTTTCTTGCTTGTAAAAAATCACATTACTTGAATGCACAAGCTTTCATGAATATTAAACATATAACATTTACTTAGAACCATAGGTTGGTTTTTGTTTAAATTTTATGAGAAAGTATTCAAATAATACTTCAAATAATTGTGATATTAGAGAAAACTAAAGTGGAAATTTTGTTTGATTTTAAATGGAATGTAATCATGATTCCATGGAGGATGCAATAACGTATGATTTGAATTTCAATTTTAGTCAATTTCAATTTCAGTTTCAATTCATCATAATTTATTGACCATCAGTATCATGATATACACTACTTTTCCTTATTTTTGTTTTATCATTTAATCTCTTTTTTAACTTTATATACAGTTCAAATAATAGTTCGTCTCCTTCATCAAATTGGTGCAACACAACAGTGGCTCATAGAAAGAGACAATAATAGTTCGTCTTCTTCATCAAATTGGTGCTTGACAACAGTGGCTCATAGCAAGAGACAGATAACAGTTGGGCGTAAGAATAATATGGGAATTGAAAAAGGATATACAAGTGCTGTGTCTTAGTGAGTGAAATGGTCATTTTACATCCTCTTGTGTTTTATTATTATTTTATTATTTTCAAATAAGGGTATTTTAGTCTTTCTGAACTAATGGTTCCTTGCATAAATTTGTAAGTTAGAAGTGTTTTCTACCATACAGATAGTATATGGACTATATCCATACCATAAGTGTTTTTTTTTTTTTTTTTCACTTAAACCTATATATATATATATATATATATCTCTTTATCTCAATAATTGACCCATGCATTATTATAACTTATCACTTGCAATATTTAGTGAAGAGCAGACATATATAGAGTACCATCTCTTTAGACTTTCTGAATACATTAAAAAACAAAAAAAACAAAATAAAAAGTACAGATTTCTTCTACAGACACCTCCCTCCATAGCCTGCATTTCTGAGTAATGCTTGCTTTATGCATTCAGAACCTATTATTGTTCTCTCCCCTGTGACCTAACATCATTATATGAATAGAAGGGAACATCAGATTTTTATACAAAGCACATATCATATAATATATTAAGTAAATCAATTTTCACAAAGCCTACATATATATACCTCTGAACAAGAAGCTTGCATTGAGAAATCACTGAAACAGCTTATAGCAGACTGTTGAATGTCAAGTCCCAGTGCTTCTAGTGTGTTGATTGTCGAAACCAACAATCCTGGTTTTGCTGCACAGCGAATCTCAATCCGGTTATCAGTGCTGCTCATCCTTTCAGCATCAAACTGAGAATATTAATTGTGGCAAAAAAATCCAATTTTAGAAACCCATTTTTTTAATTATAGTTGATGAGGAATTGTAAGCATATAACTTGGGGGAATTCCTCACTAGTATTTGTTCTGGCTTGAACTCCTTGAAGTTGCCCTTGAAGTTCATCGTTCCTGTACCTGCAGCTTCCTTATCCTCTTCCCGCAACTTATTGATTTTATGCAAGAGCTCTTTCACATAGTCTATGGTGTCCCCAACTATAGATGTCCTATCCATCTGCTCATTCATTCATGAATTCTTCTAAAATTAAAATACAAAATAAGTATTGTGTAAAACAAGTATTATGGCTAATTAAGTAGACATGAAGAGACAAACTATAGCTATATATAAAGCATATGAGTGATCCATTATTAATTAATGCAACATCAATGAACAGAAACAGTTCTCTGAAAATAGATCGAGAACAAAAAATTATTCTCAAAGTTACAAACCAAATAAGGTCTAAAGCATGCAGAATTTTTGTACAGCCTTTATTTTTTTAGCATTCTGAAAATAGAAAACTGTTTTAGGTATCTCGGGTGCCCTAACTCAGGCCGTTGGACGGAAAGAATGCCCATCAATCTCTGAATCCAACCGCTGAGGGTTGCAAGTGACACTGTGACACCGATCTACATGATCATAAGATGAACATAAATTGAAGCACCCATCATAATTTCTACATTTGAGTATACTAACATAGAATTCAATTATTAAAGTCATGCATCACCTTGCTTATCTTAGGGACAACTGATCTAAGCATCCAAAGGCGGTCATTCAGCCGCTTCCTTCGCCTTCTTTCTGCCATTAGATTCTTCGAGGGTTGCCCTACTTCTGCCTTCTTCTTACTTCTGCTCTTTTTCTCTCCATGACAGAAGTCCTTGTTGAGTGCTGTATTATCTATAGTTGTTTCTGTGTCAACTTGAGAGTAATTCTTACTTACATCTTCCAAACTTTGGAGATATTGATCATTGATAAGAAGACCAACCTCCCCATCATCCTCCACCATTGATGGGTTTTCTTCTCCAATCGGAATTGGAGGTGTATCGTTACAATATTGGATCTCCGGCAAAGTACTACTAAGACCATCAACAAAAGGCCAGACTTCATTGAAATGACATGGAAATGGAGGATTTGATGCACCCAAAATGGAGCTATCATCAAAAGATTCGCGGATCCATCCATTAGGGAAGAAGTCATTCACTCCAGTTGAAAAACTGGCCCAACTACTGTCTCTTCTTGGAGCTAGTAACTCCTCTAAGAGGCCATGTTTTGACTCCATATCTGTGTGTGTGTTTTTGTGTGTGTAAAGAAACTCCAAGGATGCTAATCCAAGAAGGCGACTTAAAAACATAAAGTTGCATTATGTTGAAGGCAGGCTTACAAATGTAAAAAGGATAATTCTTAGTGGTATTAAATGCATTTTAGTATGGATTAATTATGATTTTAATTAGTGCATAATAGCATCTGGAGTAAAAAAAATGAAATGGAATCTGCTTTTTCTTCTCTCCCTCTTTCTGAATTTGTCTTTTATACTGAGATTTTCAATTTCAATATATATTTAAACCTAATAACCTGAGAGCTTTGACCCACAGACGTGTCTGAATCGAAAAGGATGGAGCTAGCATCATAGATCTGCCAGGTTTTTTATATGTTCTATGAACCCTTATATAGGAGTATTGTTTGTTGACTGAGACTAATGCAGCAGCCTCTCTGTCACACACACAGTAGCTCTGTTTTTTATAGTAATTCTTTGTTTGGTCCCTTTCCCAATGCCCTTATATTTGGCTTGGAGTGTTTGATTGAGAATTGATCTGTCAATCATTTTCTTAAAAAGAATGATTGTATTTCTCCCTAATTTCAGGTAAGTTTGCGAGAATTCGGATCCGATCTTGTGTTATTTCATTATTTGTTTTTACGTTGCTTATGCAATAACACATTACATTATTATTTTATGGTGTAGCATTTCGTTGTTGTACTACAAAATAGTGCATCTATATTATATCGTTATTTTATGATGTTGTTAGAGTGTTTTTTAATTTTATCATGGTGTTTTATTTAAGATGGAGGAATTTTTAGTTAAGATGAAGTTATGAAGAGATCCTTATTCGAGGTTGAACTATATCAGAGCACATGAAGACATAGTATGATCACGTGTTGATTACATGAATGATTTAGGAGATTGAAGTTGCTGATTTACATACTTGATTTTGGCTACTGCCAAAGTTGAACCGGTTCAAATGAGGTTGAACCGGTTTAAATTGGACAGTAAATTATTAGAAGTTGCAAGAAACAGTATCCTAATTGGTTTTCAAAGCCAGAAGACTTGGGGAAAAGGCTGAAGATTGGGAGAAAAAGTTGCACTTTCTATTTTAGAGTTGAAGACCGATATAAAAACTCCTTGTAGGCAAGTTAGGGAATATTTGTCAAACAAGAAATTGAGTTTTAAAGACTCTATAAATAGAGATAGGATATTTAGAGAGAGAAAATTGTAAAGAGAAAAAGAGAGTTAAGAATGCGAGAAGGAAAAGAGTGTGCAATCAAGGTTTTGAAGTAAAGTTTTAGTCGTTCTTTACCCGTGGACTAGGCAATTTGGTAAACCATGTAAATCTCGTTTTGCTTGTGTGTGTGTTCTATCTGTTATATTTGCCAATTGTGTGTGAAACCCTAACAACTGGTATCAGAACCATAGTGGTAACTAATACAGATAGAGAATACGTGGTCAATAAGTTTAATGGAAGAAAGAACTTCAGTCTTTGGCAAGTTTGGATGCGTGATTTACTAATTCAGCATGGTTTAGTAGATACTTTGAGTAAGCAACCAGAAAGGATGGAAGATGCAGATTGGGCGAAGATCAACTTGAAAGTAATGAGTGCGATTCAATTAACGTTGGCGGATGATATTGTGTATGATGTGATAAAAGAAGATTTAGCAGCGGACATGTGGAAGAAGTTGGAGAATCTGTATATGAGAAAGAATCTCACAAACCGGTTAGTTTTAAAGCAAGAGTTGTATTCCTTCAAGAGAAAAGAGGAGGGGTAAGCCTACAAGAACATCTTAGCGAGTTCAACAAATATTATTTGTGATTTGTCTAATATTGATGTCAAGTTAAGCGATGAGGATAAATCAATTATTTTGTTAACGTCGGTATACTCTACTTGTTACCCAAATATTAACCTTAAAGGGGAGTGAATAGGGTCATTGACAAACTATGGAAATTTTTCGGTTTAGCGTCTTGATCTAAGCTCATTTTACTTGTCTCTTTACTTTAGAGCCAAATATGATTCATTGTGATGAATGCTCTTCTAGTGAGTTGCAGTGTAGATATCACTTAATATTCGGAATGTAAAACAATGAACTTACTACACTTGAGTAGATTGCTTTAGCAAACGACCAATTTATTTTATACATTAAATCATGCAAATTAGTCATGCAACTAAGTGTGATCATCATTGATTCAAATAAATAAATTCCTTTAAGCTTTAATGTATTCAAATCAACTAACTACTTAGAATTAGCATTTGCACAATATTGATGTGAATAATATTCAAGATGTAAATGTCATGAAACACATTATCATAGAGTTTATAACAAATTTATCAAACACTTGGTGTACATATAAACTCTAAATGTGAAGGTTGTGTTGAATATACATTTTGTCAAACACTTGGTGTGCAACATGATTTTAGCTATATAGGAATCAATATATAACATATAGTCTAAGCTAAAATCAATCACTCACTCAACTTAATCTAAGCATTCATCCCATCCTCCTCATATAATCAATTAAACTTAACATACTAGTTAATTGATTTATATAACTCATTCTACTCAAAATAAACTAAACATTTGATATATAAAGATTGAGCAAATAAAGATGCAATCAAATGTAAAAAGAATAAATATTAAAGAGTAGGGAAAATACAAACCAAGGGACACATATGTACATGATTCGACGCAATCTCGGCCTACATCCATGCCTTAAGAAAACCTCTCAAGGATTCCACTACGGCACCTCCTTATGGGTGGACAACAAACCTTTACATGTTTTTACTTGCGGGTGAAGAATCGACCTTATAATGAAGCCATCTCACTTTTCTTTCTTTTGATGGCCAAGAAGAAACCATTTCTCACTCTTACGGGTGGAGAGCTCTATCAAATCCTCTTATTAAAGAGACACCTTCTCTTTTTTATGGGTAAAGAAAGAGAACCCTTACAATAGCTTGAACAAGCTTTCCCTTGCCAAAAGTGTGAGATATTATTTTGTAAGTGGCAATTATCGGAAACAAAATAAGTCATTGTTGAGTTGTAATTTTAAGTTACTATATCGGGATCGACAGCGATTGCAGAATTGAAAAGTTGTTTAAAGTTACCTTGACTAAAGATCATTCAAAAAAAGTAAGAACAACACATTAAAAAGGAGTCTAAAAAGGTTAGACAAGTGAGTCAACTTCATTTTTTAAAAACTATGAGACTTTGACTCCATCATATAGTGAATATGGACCCATAAGTAGGGATGGCAAAATGCCCTGCCCTGTATAGAATGGTTATGGGGTGGTTAAATGGTTTTTGGGGCGGGGATGAGACTTAAGATTGAAAACACATATGATTATGGAGCGAGAATGGAGAAAGGTCATCCCGCCCCGCTCCGCCCTTCCCCGTTTATAGTGATAAATTACAATTTTGTCCTTATACTTTATTTTATATTCAATAATATTATGTATATATTAAACAAATCCTAATTTATTCTATTCCAATCATGGTTCGCCGTATCGTCCGATACATGACCCTTTTTCAAGTTCGATACGCGACACGTATCAGGCAGTTTACATTAATTTTATCCGAATCCGTTACCCCCCGACCGCGACTGTGAACCATGATTTCAATCACTAAATATTCTTTTGTATTATTCTTCTTTGATAACTTCTATGTATTATTTTGATATTCCAACAATAATTTTAATCTTGAGTTTCAATTAAGAAGTTAAATCTTGTTTTTATCAACATAAGAGAAAAAAAAAAATACTAAAATAGTTGAAAATTTGTTTTATTATTTACTTTTGTTATATTAGTATTACAGTTACGAAAATACTCTACAAAACCCATCTCGCCCCGTCTTACCCTGCCCCGTTTAATAAACAGTTTTGGGGCTGGAATGGGGGTAGTTATTGTAAACGGGAATAGGGATGGGGATGGTGTTCCCTGCCCCAAACCGCTCTCATTGCCATCCCTATTGTAACAAGGGTCATTTGTCCCACATCGGAATCAGATGGGAAAGTGATTGCGTATAAATGGGTGGGTATACAACACTACCCAAAGTTCGAGCTTTTGGGTAAATGGGCAAGCGCCCACCCGTTATAGTTGGTATCAGAGTCAGACCCAATCCTTGATACGGTGTCACGCTAAGCGCCCCGCTCGGAAAGAGTCCGGGTGAGCATCCCAGGTAGGCAGGGTGGCCCGAACCGTAACAAAGGCGTTGCGGTTTGGGTGGGGGAGAATGTAACAAGGGTCATTTGTCCCACATCGAAATCAGATGGGAAATGGGTGGGTATGCAGCACTACCTAATAGTTCGAACTTTTGGGTAAATGGGTAGTTCGAACTTTTGGGTAAATGGGTAAGCGCCCACCTGTTACACTTACCCATAAGCCCCCACCTGTTACACTTACCCATAAGCCCACTTGTACGTAAAAGTCCCTAATTTTAATTTAAGCTAATAAAAATGTATATACAAGGGTAGTTTGGTCATAACATTTCCTTTCCCGGTTAGTAGTATATGACGACAAATTAACCAAAATGAGGTAAAAGGGGAGGGATTTATAATTTTACCCATGCATTCGTCCCCACCCTGTTTCCCAAAGGGTATAAATAGTTGTCATGCTAATGCACCAAGATGATCTCCGTCTTCATGCACCAAACGGAGCAGCAAAAGCAGTCATGACTCTTATTACCAACCATGCCCTTCCTCACCCCCAACGCGCTTGCTTCACTCGTCGAATCGGCTGTGTCGACTCACTCTTCCGTCCTCGGCCGAGCCGCCCATGCCCAGATCATCAAGACTCTCGAAGCTCCCCTGCCTTCCTTCCTCTACAACCACCTCATCAACATGTACTCCAAACTCGACCTCCCCAACTCAGCCCAACTCGTCCTGTCACTCACGCCTAACCGTTCCGTCGTCACCTGGACTGCCCTCATCGCCGGCTCTGTCCAAAACGGTCGTTTCACTTCCGCCCTCCTCCATTTCTCTACCATGCGTCGTGAGTGTGTCCAACCCAACGACTTCACCTTCCCTTGTGCCTTCAAGGCCTCGAGCTCGCTTCGATCGCCGCTCACCGGTAAACAAGTTCATGCATTAGCCGTCAAGGCCGGTCAAATAAGCGACGTCTTTGTGGGGTGTAGTGTCTTCGATATGTATTGTAAAACGGGCCTTAGAGATGAAGCAGGTAAGATGTTCGATGAAATGCCGGTGAGAAACACCGCAACATGGAATGCATATATTTCTAATTCCGTGCTTGATGGTCAAACAAGAAATGCCATTTCTGCATTTATCCAGTTCCGGCATATTGGCGGGGAACCCAATTCAATTACATTCTGTGCGTTTCTCAATGCATGCTCGGATGCCTTGTATTTGCAGCTTGGGCGACAGTTGCATGGATTTGTAATTCGAAGTGGGAATGAGGCGGATGTCTCTGTTGCAAATGGGTTGATTGATTTTTATGGGAAATGTCACCGGATTAATTCTTCAGAGCTAGTTTTTAATGGACTTCGTCATCCTAATGACGTTTCGTGGTGTTCAATGCTTGCCGCATATGAGCAAAATGATGAAGAAGAGAAGGCCTGTATGATATTTTTGCGGGCTAGTAAAGAAGGCGTTGAACCGACGGATTTTATGGTTTCCAGTGTTCTCAGTGCTTGTGCTGGCTTGGCGGCACTTGAATTGGGTAGGTCGGTCCACGCACTTGCTGTCAAGGTGTCCATTGAGAAGAATGTTTTCGTTGGGAGTGCACTCGTTGACACGTATGGAAAATGTGGAAGTATAGAGGATTGTGAAAGTGCCTTTCATGAGATGCCTGAGAGGAATTTGATTACTTGGAATGCATTGATTGGTGGGTACGCACACCAAGGCCATGCTGACCTGGCTTTGGGAATGTTTGAGGAAATGGCATGTGGGAGGCACGAGGTGGTACCAAATTATGTAACGTTAGTGTGTGTACTATCGGCATGCAGTAGGGCTGGAGCGGTGAAGGCGGGCATGGAGATTTTTGAGTCAATAAGAATGAGGTATGGGATTGAACCAGGGGCAGAGCATTACGCATGTGTTGTGGACATGCTTGGTCGAGCCGGGATGGTAGAACAAGCTTATGAGTTTATTAGAAAAATGCCAATTCATCCAACAGTTTCAGTTTGGGGGGCTCTTTTAGGGTCTTGCAGAGTGTATGGAAAGCCTGAATTGGGGAAGATTGCAGCTGACAACTTATTTGAACTTGATCCACAGGACTCTGGCAACCATGTCTTGCTTTCAAACATGTTTGCGTCTGCAGGCAGGTAATATCACTTCCTTGTCAAACTAGTCATCAGCATCTCTCATCATAATAAGCTTTCGAATAAGTACGTATCTTCCGAGATATATGTTGAATTCACTTCCTTGAGTTTTGGCTAATTATTTTAATTTCCACGGGCCATAAGCTTTCATGGAGACTGAGAAACAGGTGCTCTAATTAAGGATAATTTTGCTAACCTCCCTGAGGTAAGACAATATTCTACACGCCCATGTGCAATTTAAAGAACTCGGACGTCCCTTTATATTTCAGTGATATGGACGAATGTACACTTTGCTGATGACCAAGTTCAACAACGAAGTGTCCAAAATACTCTAATGATTCAAATACTCATAAACTGTCAAATTTAACCCCCCATAAATAAAAGAACAATGACGTTGTCCCTCAATTCTGGTTCAGCCACCTCTTAGTGAAAGAAAATGAAGATTGACAATAATAGACTCAAAAAAATTTTACCACATCACCATGGAAAGGAAAAAAATAGAAGAAAATAATGACAAATTGGATGCTGAAGGGAGAAGAGAGAGAAAAGAGGGGCACGGGAGTGAATAAGGTCTTCTACTTGAACAACTTAAAGTGTTCCCCTATTCTCATCTCCATTGCAACTGTATATCCCTCGGGGAGTGTCTCATCAACATTGACGATCTCTACTGCAAACTTCACAAATTGAAAAAAAAAAAAAATTCCCTAATAGAATGTGTGCATGAGAGGGGGTGAAGGAAAATGTCTTGGAAATTTGCATGGGTTTCAAAAAGTTGGGATGGGTTGTTGAAGTACATCCAGAGTCCAAACCAACTCACAGGAGTGAGGAAGGGAATCTTCTTGCTTGTGTGTGTATCTGAATAAGTGATAGAGAAGAGAGTTCCGGACTAGTGTTTCAACCTCATCCCTGCACCATCATCCAAAGCCTGTGTATGGATAACTGATTCATTTTAACCATACTTTGATATCTTTCTTTAAGTTGCACATAATGACCTTGCTTAAACCATCTGGTAACCTCATTTCCTGCATAGCCGACTTAAACGGACAAGGCTCCACTCTATGTCTAAACATTCCACAATCAAAGCATATATGATGGATACATTCATATTCAATTCTTTACTTCTCCTCTCCTGATGGAACTTTAGCAACTAATGTTTTGAATTCACATAGGGGAAAATAAGTTGGGTTATTTCAATAGTAAATCCTAGGGTCTGAACTCAAATTTGGATAATGTTTTAATTCAAAAAATAATAATAATAATAATAAATAACTTTTTTTTAACAATAGTTATGTAATTTCATCAAGTTCAATGATGGAGAAAGCTATTTGCAAATTTTTTTTTTTATAGATTTGGGGGGTTTTATTGAAATGCAAATGTAGAATAATTCGAGTATATATATATATATATATTGCCATAATATGAATGCATAATTAAAACGCTAATTGGTGAGTTTGATCTTCAAATGGTTAATAACCTTTTTACTCTTGTTGAGACTTTGAAATCTTCATGAACCACTTGGATCAAAGGGAACGCCTAACTACCACAACTAACCTTTAAAACATAAACAGAATAAAATTAAGATTCCAGACTCAGTCTTACGAAATTAGCCAACCTATACACCTAATAAGGTCTGTTTCGATCCCTCATTCCGTCCAGCACCTTGAATAAGTGGATCAACACTCAATAATGGCCATCTATTTGTGATCTTGTAGATTAAGAAGGAAACCTTGTTGGCTTGATCATGAATCCTCGTTACTGCACTTCCTAATATTTGAAATGATCAACTAACTAGAAACTTCTGAATCACACTCATTAATATGGAGGACCTTGATGTCATAAGTTGCTGCACTTCTTTATAGTTGAATTAATTGACTAACTAGGGAACTGTTGGATGCACTCTTTGATGTGGAGGACCCGACCCTGATGCTCTGATGTTATGTAAATGTTTGAAATAATTGAAACTATCTATAATACTTGGTTATAGGATCTCCGAGGCTCTTTTAGGACCTGAGAGTTTTTGTTGTGGATTTGCATAAATCATAATTTAACCATTTGATAATTACGTATAGGTGTTTTTTTGAGTCGAAGAGGACACATTGCAAAATGCGAACACGAGTTTATTCTACAAACAAGAAAGAATAGACTGAAAACACGGTTTAAAGTAATTAATAGTTAAGAGAACACAAAGTTATGATTGATACAGTTTCAACTATTCACTTGTTGCGGTTCTCTAGCTGATAGCCATGGTCAACTTGTCATGGGGCACAGAATCAAAGACACCCCTGCTGACTCATGGAATTCTATGAGACTTGGGTTAATGATAGACATATATCAGGTAAAGGAAACCTGCAAAACCAATTTTGCAGCTCTGGCGCTCCTTATAGAGACCATTAATTGCTGCTACGCTATTTGTATAGCCGTTTGCTGCAAGCTCATTTCACAAGTTCAAAAATTGGACACTCCTTATGACTTGTCTTTTGATATTTAGTGGCTTGGTTTCTCGCTGTTCTGCATGTATTTCTTGCTTTATCTTGTTAGTCATTTTAGACAATTGCTGCAGATGGGAAGAAGCCAACCTTGTGAGAAAGGAGATGAAGGATGTAGGGATAAAGAAGGGCACTGGATACAGTTGGATCTCCGTACAAAACGCAACCCATGTCTTCCAAGCAAAGGATACCTCTCATGACAGAAATTCCGAGATTCAGGCAATGTTATCTAAGCTGAGGAGAGAAATGAAGGCAGCTGGCTATGTACCTGACACCAACTTTGCTCTCTACGATTTAGAAGAGGAAGAGAAAGAAACCGAAGTTTGGTACCACAGCGAGAAGATTGCTCTTGCCTTTGGCCTCATTACCATCCCTCCTGGAGTCCCTATAAGAATAACGAAAAATCTTAGGGTCTGTGTGGATTGCCATAGTGCCATTAAGTTCATATCAGGCATTGTTGGCAGAGAAATTATTGTAAGAGACAACAACCGGTTTCATCGATTTAAAGATAACCAATGCTCTTGCAGAGATTACTGGTGATTACTGGTTCTCTGTCTCTCTTAAAGCTTTTCAAAAGAAACTCGTGTTCTTCATTTATTTATTTATTTATTTTTAAAGAGACAGTTATAGTTATAATTTGTTAATATGACCAAAATGATTCTTCACGTTGGAGCAAAATGTTGCTTTGTTTTAACATTCTTCTGGTAATAGTTTATCTATCTTGTTATGTGTTTATGTATACATCTACCCGTAGCTGTAAACTAAACTGAGAAAGTGTGTAATGTATTATGAAATATTTTTGCATGTGTAAATAACCATTTTTTAACGTTTAATTCACAATTAAACCAGTACTCGTATATGATAAAAGCGTGAGGTCATTTATTGTGGTAGGCTGGTAGGGAAGGACTGTTTCTTCTTATTTATTTATTGGAAAAATCTAAAAGGTAACTAGGCAAGGTGAAGCTTACATGATTTACTCCAACCCTTGTCATAATACTCAAAATTGTCCCCATGGATAATTATTAGGTTTGTTCTTTATGGCTTAGTAGACTGAGAATAACTATTTTACCGGTTCATATAGTCGTTATGTCCATCTGTGTGCAGTGTAACTTGGCTTACTTCGGATACCACTGACCTCCCTTTGGGAAGTAAGAGACTGATACCACTAGACCATTGGCCCGTTAGTGGCTTACTTTGGATTTTAAAGTATACATCTTGCGTTGTATGTACTTAATTTGTTTTTGTGAATATTGATTCAATTGCTAGTTCTAGGATGGATCCTTATACCTACCCTTGAATTAGATGATTAGGAGACATGTTCCATTACTTGTATAGCATGTGTTATAATTGCAAGGCCAAAGAAACCTAGTTTGTCTTTATAATCCATTGCATACGGAGTAATTTAAATTACTCACACCCATTGATAATTATTTTTTTCAGATAAGAGCGTGATATACTTGGATGCACCTCTGTCTTGGCTTAGATTTGATCTGTTCTACTTTGTGGACATATTTTGTACGATGTTTACATACCATATATTAGGCATGTTTGATGTATCACTTTTGGACATATACTAATTAAATGATATGATGTATATTTTTTTGAAGAGAGAAATTGGTTGGAAACTCAATTGTTTTTTTTGGAGTTCCCGAGTCATTTATACTCTACCGTGTTACATTTGGAACCCAAACAAGTGTTGTAATGAGGCTAAATGGCCATTTTACTTTAAAGTACATTTCCTATATAATTTGCGCTCTTTGAGTATGCCACACACATCTACTTATTGGCATCCACACTCCATGTCGTGTTCTTAGACTAGGTGATGCTTAAAATGTGTTTGGGATCATATATGTATGCATGAAAATGAAGTAGGGATGACCAAGGACCAATTTGTATTCAAAAAAGGGTTTCACTTAACTCCAAGCACTTGCAAACTAGCTTCAAGCGCTCGAAGCTTGTCAGGCCCATGTGTGCATGGGTAGCCTTGCGTACGCAGGACAGTGTGCAAGCGCTTGCATAGTGCCCTCCGAACACTCGCAACTCCTTCTTAGGCACACCTTGGACTCTTCAATTTAAACCCAGAAATTAATGTTTTCATGCATGTTTAGTAATGACTCATGAGCCTATTGTGGACCTATTATCAAACATTATGATGTCAAATGACCATTTTGACCTTAGCTTCTGCATTTCAAACTCGGTATCGGGTCGGGGTTTCGAACCATTTTAGTTAATGCACCGGATCATGGGATTTGGAGCGTTACACCAAAAATTGCCATAATCTTGGTCCAGGAAGCTTGCGACTTTGGTTGGAACTTAGCCCAATTAAGATCTCCATTTGAAAGCCTAAAATTCCCGGTTCTAATTCATTTTGAGGATAAAAGCCTAAAAATAGCAAAAACATAAAAAAGACATAAAAGCATAACATAAATACAACTAGAGAACTAACATATGCAAATAGAATGGCTTGAATATGCAACATTAGCGCTTATCAAGCTTCTAATGTATAGGTCCGGCATGCTCCAGCTCAGGTGAACATCAGTTTCGATATGCCAACAACGGTTGTGTGTATGGTTCTACCAGTACATGGCGATTGTGGCAGCGGTTTCTGACAACAACTCCAAGCAAAAATGGCTGGTTTCGATGTTTCCGCTAGGGTCGGAAGGATGAATTGGGGTGGATCTCCAACCAATTCCTTATGGGTTGGAGGGCAGCATGTGGGTTTCTTTTATATAACAAACCTCTTAGTCTTTTGTACACCCCAGTTTTCGCTCCGGGACTCTGCCAAATCCCTTAATACAGGTGCAGCAAAGTCACTTTAACGGACCTCTCTGAGGAAGTGGTATCTTGGAGGCTGAACAAATCTCCCTTTTCCAAGTTGAAATAGAGTTGTAGAGTTGCATTGGAATATTAGCTTTTCCATATATATATATATATATATATATATATATATATATATATATATATAGAGAGAGAGAGAGAGAGAGGGGGGTGACAGCCGTGGAGGTGGATAGTGGAGAGAGAGAGAAGGGATGACGGCGACGAGGGGTCAAGAGAAAGGGAGTGTTCCAAAAAACAAAAAGGGGTAGGCCAGTTTAGTAACAGGAATAATTCCTGATTTCTATTGTCAATTTCTAAAATTGAAAATCAAAAGTAAAAATCATGTTTAATAAAATACTTTTACTTTTAAATTTTAAGAAAGTACTTTCTAGTTTTGTGAAGAAAAGAGAAAGTGAGAAATCCTTACTTTCTCTATTTTCTGCATTGTTCGCTGAAATTACTTTCTCTACTGTAGCATCATTTATCACAAAAAAAAAAAAAAAAAAAAAAAAAAAAAACCCTCATCGCAGCCCATCAAAACCCCTCTTTTAATCTTTCCCTATTATGCTCCTCATCCTCGAGCCCTAGCCAACTGCAACCAACCCATCAAAACCCCTCTTCTGCTCCTTCCCTCTTTTGCTCCTTCCCTCTTTTGCTCCTCATCCTCAAGCCCTAGCCGACTGTAACCACTGCCACAACCATTAATTTTCACCCCTCCTCCTCTCTCTCTCTACCCCATCACTCACCCCTCTTTCTCTTTGTTTAAAATCAACACAAAGACCTGTTCTTCATTGGTTTAATTTATAAAGATGGTGATTTCAGGCTCCGATGACCACGGTTATACAAATTCAGGTGACGAAGGATTCACAATTCTGATGACAACAACCAACAATTTCGAGCACGGAGATGTTGTGACTATGTAATTCCAGAGGTGGGTTTGGTTTTTGTTCCTTGGATTAGGACTTGGGTTCTCTGTGATTAGGTTGCAGTGGCGGCTAGGGTGTCGATGGTTTGAGTTTTGCAATAGGCGGTGATGGGTGGTGGTGATGGAGGTTTTGGGTAGAGGTGGTGGTGTTTGCACTTGGCGGTCGGCGACGGTAGCTCTCTGCTATTGATTTTTTTTTTTTAGGGTTGCAGTGTCTCTATGTTTTGTTTGGTGCAAATTGGTTTAGGTGTTGGTAATGGAGGTTTTGGGTGGTGGTGGGCAGGGACCATATTGATAGTGAATTTGGGTTCAATTATGGTGAGTCACAAAAATGAGAGAGAAGGATTGAAGAAATTTTGTACATATAAAATCAAAATTATAATTATTGAGCTTGCTTTCTAATTTCTTGCTTTGAAAATATTGAAAGCATGAAAAATTAGTGAACACAATTCTACTTCATATTTCAACTTTAGAAATGAAAATCATGATTTTACTTTCAAAAAAAGTAAAAATAAGAAAGTGAAAGCGTTAGTAAACGGGCCCTAAATAAATTGGGACCAAAGTTGTCATTTAATATAGAAATACTTTACCATTATAAAAGAATTAATATATTAAAGAGTAACATTGTAATTTCACACGAAAATTAACATCAAGCAAAAATTAAGGGGTATCATTGGAATAAAGTCCAAACTTAACCAATGAGTGTAATACTCTTAAACTTTAGGAGTGTAAGTGTAATTCACCCTTAGGGGTGCGAGTGTAATACTCATAAATGACAAGTTATTTTTACTGTATCCAACAACAATCCTCACAAGTTACAACCCAGAACTAGGGGTGGCAAAAATCCCCAACCCGGTGGGGAACCGCCCCGCCCCTGCCTTATTTAAAGCGGGTTTGGAGAACCATTTACTTAAATGGGGTGGGGATGGGGGTTAAAAAAAAAAAAAACCAGGCCGATTGCGGGGGCAGGGGCCGGGGACTAAGATCCCCGCCCCATAACCACCCCGTTTAATATATTAAATTATTAACTTACCCTTCCATGTTAATATATTTACCAAATTAACCTTCACTATATATATATATATATATATATTGGAAACCACTTCAGTTTCAAACCCTACACTTCATTGCAGCAGCCGTGTCTCTCTCTGAGCTCTCTCTCAAACCACAATACATCCATTATTTCATTTTGGGGAGGAGGTCAGACCAGATCAGATCTAGATGAGTCATTGGAGAGTGTGGTTAGGGACGAGGTCTGGAGGCTGTTGGGTGAGTTCGCCATCGTCGAGCTAGGAATTGTGATGTCCAAACTTCTTGGTTGGTTTGACTGTGAATTTGGAAGCTGTTAGTGAGTTTGGAGGTGGCAAGGCGGCGAGTTCATCCAACTTACGTGCTTAACTAATAAAAACTAATAACGAATTTGTGTTATCTTTTGTTGAATTTTTTTCATGCCTAGTTGGGTCCTGCCTTGTTAGGACCATACAATTTGATCCCCATAGGTGACTTGACAAGTTGAAATTCAACATCTATTCAAAACTTTTATTTATCTTTAAATAAATGAATCCAAACGGAGTTTTAAGATTCAACCTATTTGAAAATTCACGTCTTCAACGTCAAAATCCCTAATCCCTAGCAAAATCACAATCCATTTCTCTCCACCAAAATCACAGTATCCACGGTTGTCGGCATTCGTCGTCAACGTCACATCCTCTCCGTCGATCCCCAAAGTGTTCATCAAAATCCCCGTCGATTTGATGTACCGGAACGCAAACATCACTTTTTCCGGTCGTCGGAGCTTCGGCTTCGGTGGATGATTTGTTAAGACCGAAATGCAGAAGGGTTAGGGTTTGGAAAAGGAAGAGGCGGCAAACGCTAGAGGAGGTGGTGGAGGTCAGGTAAAGGAAGGGAAGGATGAAGGTTAGGGTTTTGGAAGGAGGTTAGGCCGCGGATCTATGGAGATTTGCAGATATTTGTGGATGGATAATATATATATTTTTTTTAACTTTTGATTCTTGCAGACAATAGATAAACTGAAATATATGGATTTCCACCTTCTGATTCTTGTAGATTTTGTAGTTTGCAGTTGCAGAGAGAGGGGGGGGGGGAGAGTTCAGAGTTGAGAACGAGAATAAAGATGGAGGCGACTGGGGAGGTTAACATGAGTTGCTTAAAAATATAAGCGGTTATGGGGGGGCGGGGACGGGGGCAGTTATGGGAATTAGAGGCAAAAAATTAATCGATTATGAGACGGTGTCAGAGGCACCAAAATTAAAGGGGGGCGGGGATGAGGGATGAAAAACCCATCCCAAACCGCTCCATTGTCATCCCTACTCAGAACCCATTAAAACCACCATCAACCCAATAATCATATATCCACTGCGCGTATAATTAACAAAATTTAATGTAATTTTAATTTAAAATATATATCCACTCATCAGTTGTCTCCTCACAAATTTTTTATTTATGATGCGTTTCCTGTCAATCCTTTGCAACTACATTCATATACTTGGTTTGCGGGTAGAAACAAAACTAATAACAGGGCTGGTGATGCTGTCATTCAAAAGTCAAACGAATTGAAAACAAATGAATCCAAATGGGTAAGTGTTTTTCAAAAAAAATTTTTGAACCGGAGGGTTGTATTTGCAATACCCCTTGTGTCATTTATTAATCCCTATAAATTAAACTTCCCAAGCGACGTCGTTTAGATACGGCAGATGATCCGGTGATATATGTCAGATTCCAGATAGAAAACTCCAGTCTTGACAGTCTTCTTGGCTTGGCACTGAGGAAGAACTATGGCGGCAGCTAAAGGTGCATGCCTTAATCACGTATCGAGGGAATCATCAGATATCAACCGCCTCGCTAAATTTTATCAGGAGGTCTCTTCATCTCCTCCTCCTCCTCCTCCTCCTCCTCCTCTAACACTGCACTACACTTTTTCTACATTTTTATTAACCTTTCTTAATTGATTTCGTGATTGATGTTGCAGATTTTTGGGTTTGAGCAGATTGAGAGCCCTAAATTGGAATTCCAGGTCATTTGGCTCAAACTCTCGTCTATCTACATCCACCTCATCGAGAGGGACCCCCAGACCAAGCTTCCCGAAGGACCCTGGACTGCCACCTCACCTGTTGCAGACCCTAAGAATCTACCCAGAGGTCACCATATCTGCTTCTCCGTCTCCAATTTTGACTCTTTTCTTCAAACCCTCAAGGTATAAATTATTCTATATATATATATATATATATATAAATGAGTGTGTGTATTGTATGATTAGCTGAACTGTTGGGTACTTTTTAAATTCAGAAATGTGGCTTCTTTGATTATCCAATTTCGATTGGTCTATTTTACATATTGCCCATTTTCGATAAGCTTTAGGAGTTCTTTGTATATTCACTTTAAATTTTGTGGTATATGTATTTTATTATGTTATGCAAACATCCAATATATTACTTTTGTGTTACTAGTTTATTCATGTATCAAATAATACAACACCCTTAGTATAACTTGAGAACAGTTTTAAGATTTTGATACATACAGTGGTATAACATCTCTTAAATAAGAACAACATATGCATTGAAAGTTATCCTGATCCTTGTGTTTATTTGGTTGGTTATTCTTAATGTTCTGTAACCATTATTGTGCAAAATTTGGTGAACTTATATGAACGATCAGCCTGGATGCATTTGATGAATTTATGCAAACAAGCATCCTATGTTGATTTTTCTATCAAAAAGGGGAAATAAATAAATAAAAGGAAGTATTACCTTAGAGGAGGGGGTGTTGAATTGGGTGTATGATGGACAATGGGTTCCTCTGTGGAATTAACTAATGAGGATCATGGTTAAGACCTATTTGGTTAATTATTGGTGAACTTCAATAGTTGATTTATCAATTGATCGACTTAAGTGATTTGCTTGCTTGAGTTAGACTGTATGGATGGTTGGGCTTGAGGTAATGAATTCATACCAAGTTATGCTTTGGCTTGAATGAGTTTAATTTTACTTTCTAGATTAATTGGTTTCTAGATATTGATTTATAGTTGAATTGATTGATTAATTTTGTGGTGATGAAGAGCTATCTAATATGCATTCACATAACACACAAACTTAATCTAAATAATAATATATATAGATATATATATGATATATTAACTAAACTAGCGGACATCTGCTCTTAACAATATAATTAACATGCATAAACAAAAACTAAATAACAAAGTTAAGGGATGAGGAAGGCTGACACAACGATATAACGAGATTCGGCTAAACCACCTACATCCTCGTCTCATGGCAGCCACTTGCGGATTCCCCCAATCCACCATTGGGCCTCCCTATTGCACGTTGAGAGAAAACCTTACCACCACTTTGTTCTTCGCCTTCAGAGTTTGAATTTGAGGAAGAATGGCATGATTTTGAATTTGCTTCTTGTTCTTCACCTTCAGAGTTTGACTTTGAAGAAGACTGGGACGACTTTGGATGTGCTTGTTGTTTTTCGTTTTCAAGGCTTGGGTGTTGAGAGAAACAGAGATTTTATATTCCCTTCGAGTCCTATTCTCTCCTCTCCTTTTCTTTTCCGCCCCATTCCATTCCATTTCTTTTTAGGACTTATAGGAATTTATGTATGAAGTTCAAATCCTAATCTTTGAGTCCAGGAACCATTTCCATAGAATGAATCAATTTGGTCCAAGGTCCTTAACTTCACTAAATGTGAATATTTAGGATTAAAATGACATTTTGGAGATCATCTCAATTTCACCTAAGCCTTCTCATGATTTAAACATTCAAGTTCAAAGCCTAGTTCACTCATTCTAAAGACTATTTCAAATGATATGATTAAAATACATGGTCCAGGTTTTGTGGCTCAAGAGTTGTGTTCTTTCAAAGCTTATGAAATTTTGTACTAACTCAACCTTAGCAAAGGCCTCATGATTTTGACTCATTGAAGTTCATAGCCTATTGCTTGTAGTCTAAGAACTTATGATCGATATGCATGGTCTTATAGTCCACTAAGTTAAGAGCTGAACTTTCAAGTGAGTTACTTCGAGAATAATTTTACATTGAGTTCTAGTCACTCACCCAAGCCTGTCTACCCAAAATCTTGATCTTCAATAATTTCCTTTTGGTTGATGTGCTCATCTTGACTTTGATGCCTCTTCATCTTGTACAAGTTTTCATGTGTTTTCCTTTTGAAAACTCTTTAACACGTTATTTACTTATCAAAAAATATATATATATTGTATAACTTTTCATCTTTGACTTCAATGTCTAATAAGCTTTAGAGGTCTTTCATCTTTGACTTCAATGCCTTTTGAGCTTCAACATATCATCTTTAAGTGTGAAATTCATATTGGTCTTTGCCATTGATCCATAAGCCCATCTTGAGTTTTCTTATATATTTAAACTTGCTTAGCATAAACTTAAGTAGACATTAAATCTAACACCTCAATGATCTGTTTTCATAAAAATGTTTCAATTACTCTTAAATTTGAAACCTTTAGGTCAACATAAAGTATTTTGATTATAAGTATCCATCATCGAGCTGATATTAAGATTAAAAGAAAGAAAAAAGAAAGCAGAGGTTTTATGCAATAAGAATGCCCAACTTTATACGGTCATAACCGTATCAGAATGCAGCCCATGGTTTGTGATAAATAATCCTTTGCAGATCTAACACTTGAATTAATAATTATTGGAGCCATACGTTAGATTCAAATTCTTTCTAGTATTATATTTGATGTGGTTGCTGCTTCATGATAGAATGAGGATCTTAAACTTGTCATTCTTTTTGTTCATTTTCACATCTCTCTTTCATTTGTTTGCACGTCATCTATGTTAATCACCATCATGAATTTCCTTGCTTTAATCTCCTATGAATAGGGTCGGCCACATGAATGATCCTTTTCGATTAATTTCTATCACAAGCCATCACTCCTCTATATTTCATTTTTAGGTAAATTACACCAACACCCTTGAGGTTAGAAAAACCTACACTTTCAAAGTTTTGGCACTAACGGACGTTAGTTATATATATATATATATATATATATATATATATATATATTATTAGTAAAAACGGTCGTTAGTTATATGCATAAAGTTACACTCTTGCCCTTCAATTTAATGACCATTTTTTATTGAAAACTGTGTGAAAGTGAGATGGAAATTTAGCTCCCATTCATTTATTGATTAAACAATTGGATTCTTGATCATTCTATCCACTCATTTTCTCACCCCCACCTCCATCCCCTCTCACCGACCCCCACCCTTCTCTCTCTAATCAAAACCCTAAGTCACTCGAAGGCCTGATGCCTGTATCGGTAGCCCACCAGAGTCACCCAAGGATGAAGGAAGTTGAAGAAATTGTGAAGTAGAAGGCAATTATTGACAAAAAGGCAGAATTCGTGTTTTGCTGAATTCTATTTCTTTTTGTCCTTTGTAAGCGTGATGAATTGTCTATCAGTAGCTTTAACCTCCATCTTAAGTTGTCATTCCGAGAACTGTATATATATAAATTGCGTCTAAGGGGTAGTTTTGTCCAATTCACAATGTAAAATAAGGGTGATTGGGTCTAGAAAGCGACTTTTAACTGTTTTATTGAAGTTAGTCTTCTTTTTTTTTTTTAAGTTTTATTGAAGTTAGTCTTTTTACCAAGGCAAGGAGTAAAAGTGACTTTTCACGTGGTCAGTGTACTATCCAAATGGCAAGATGGCAGTAGGAGTCGGTAGAAATCATGCACCAAACTTTAGGGGGCTTCAGAGTAGGTTTCTCCAAATTATGCACTCATGTGTAACTAATTATGTCTGACCGCAGGGGTGTCAGGGAAATTATTGCTTAACTTTTTTGACTCATTTATTAGGGTTTTTAAGTTTTACTGAAAGTGTTCACTTTGCCTTCGATTTTGAAGTATAATCATCATTAATATGCGATTCAGAAAGAAAGGGCTGAACGAAGGCTGTTGTCGACATTAGTTGCACAGAATTGAGAAAAAGCAGAATCGAAGAGCTCCTAATGACCCTTAACCCTTTTAATTCTAACGCATTTCTCCACCTTTAAATTTAATTGCTAAGTTTTCATTAGAAGTGTCCAACAGTACTATGTCATCGGCAAAGTTCCTTGGCAGACTGTCTGTTAACGGTGTTAACTGAAGTAGTTTTTGACTATCTTGACCTTATGTTTAAAATAGATTTTTTATTGAACGATCAAAATTTGGTTAAATGTATATAATACCCCTTTTAATCTCTGCAATTCTTTCATTTCTCTATCCTCTTTTGTCTCCCCCTCTCTTTCTCTCTACCTTCTCTCCCTCTTACCTCCGCCTACCACCACCATCACCTCTCAATACCAGCACTTCTTCCCAACGCCTCCATCTTTCCACTAACTCCTTTGTGTTGGGCACTCCTTATTGCTTAAGCTGATACATAACTCCATCAGAACTTGGAAACAGCCTATGTAATCTGGGTGATCGTGGATTGTCTGAATTTGTATGGTTCTAGGGGCCAGAATTGTAGTTTGGAATTCGAAAAGGAACTTTGAGCTGCCTATGGATTGTGATAAATAATCCTTTGGGGATCCAGTACTTGAATGATTATCACTTATTGGATCGTATTATGTACTCTGACTCATGCCATTATTAAGGTTGACATGGTTGCTGCTTCAAGATAAAGTAGGAATCTTAAACTTTAGATTCTAATTGCTCGTTCAAATCTCTCTTCTACTTGGTTGCACATCATCTATGTTAATATTCCTATCAAGTTCTTGTCCTATCCACGTTGTTCTCCACACTGCATTGCATATCCCTAGACTATGCCATGGAAGAAATAAAGAACATTATGTGGTATGTCTGGCAAAAATTTTTACAATCATAATATTTGGATAATAGTGTCATTTTAAGTGAAAGGATCATCTTGTTTTATTCAAACTACATAATTTTGTCCTTACAGAAAAAAAATTTATTTAATTTTTTTCATTTTTGAGGTACGCAGTTTTTGTTTAACATCGACTATTTTTTGTTGTTTTCATATCTAGCATGTAAAACTAAAAAATAAAAAATGATCACATATATGTGAATGTGCATGATAGAAAATTCTAAAATTGGTGATGGATTATAGCATATTCTGTTAAATGTTGATGTATTTTAATATGTACGGCTGCTTGAATGTCCTTAGTTTTCAAAATCGTCACTATATACTGGTAGTAAATTTATCTGTTTGGCAGCGTATGTCACTGATTTAGCTAGTCACTTGAGCTGCATTGAGTAAGCTGGTATTGTTCAGCCCTTTTTTTATAGTTGTTTTTATGACAGATGATGACCTCATCTGGAGTCCTTTTTGGCTATATAGCAGATACCTAAGAATTATGGATTTACTTAAGAAAAATATATATGTGAATTTCATTAACCTACCTAAAAGATATTATATGTAATGCATGTTTCACCACTGGAATGAGCCTTGAGTGATAGGCACAGGTTAGAGTGACTATGTTCTGGTATTTACTCTAGATTAATACATAGGTATCGACCATGGAGGACAGCGCCAATGAAGTTAGGTACTGGTATATCATGACAAAGATGGGATGACGTCATTTCTCATAAAAGTTGAAGGTGCCTTATACACATAAGATCAGTTTCGGTTTATAAAGCAAGTAACCAATAAGTAATTCCATGTGTAGCCTAAATAAAGATATTGATTGGAGGATCAATTACTAAGACTAGAGAGGAGTTTGGGTAAACATAGAGTAGCATAAGTGATTAAAACACAGGAGATAATTTTGAGATGGGGACGCTTGGTTGCGGTTGTTTACACCCTACAGTATTCAGAAGTTGAATAATGACTGCAAAAATTTCGGAAGCAATGGGAACCATTTGCTACCTTTAATCAAGAAGCAATGTGTTTCATAAGTAAGCTGAGGAATTCTCTCTCTCCCCTAATTATCTCGGGTATGCTGTGCAGGAGAAGGGAATTGAGACGCATGTGAAGACTCAAGCAGATGGAAAGACCAAGCAAGCATTCTTCTTTGATCCAGACGGTGAGATTTTATGATTCCCTTTGTTTTTCATGGCTTTCTCCATTCCTCATGTTTAATTAAAGTTGACAAGATGGAAACAGATCTATGCTGCTTCTGTTCCTGTAGTTTTCATATGCAGCAGTTAACTACTGTTGCTCAATTCTTTATTAGTTCGGCGTTGGTCCAAGTTCTTGATTTACTTTGAAGCCATGGCAGTACAGTATTGACCGAACTATATGGTGCAGGTAATGGATTGGAGGTTGCTAGCCGTGAAGACTGAAGCTCCGGAAGAATAAATTTGGGCTGTTCTACATGTAAGTAGGACATATAGATGTGTATGTGGTCGAATAAAAGGCAATAAACACCAAGAGACCGTAAATTTGGATGACAAAACTAACTTCGATGACTTTGCGTGTGCAATCTAGTTTATGTTTATGTCATTCATCCATGTGCTTTTCAGCCTAAATAGGCTGACATGATATCCAAGAATGGACAAGAAAAGCCTGCACTGGTAGTGCGATTTCTTGTGATTTCTTATGAGCTATGAGATGGGTTTTCCCAGTTGAGGAGTCATCCACAACTGCTGCGATGGTGACCTTGTTGAGTTTGGCTACTGGGAAGATAGTTATTCTCACAAAAAGCTATTTAGGTCAATTTTGACATCGGCCAAAATATTAATTAATTAGTATATTGAATTGTTGGTATTATTTATCCATAGAACTAATTAACGTGGAGGGGTTGTTGGTTTGAGGGGCGAATTAGAAATGGCATTTGCGTGATTTCTTGTCGTCCTAACGCCGAAAATTGTACGGCTCCAAAACCGAGCTCCAATTGTCATTTGACGATGATCAAAATGATATATGTGAGCGAGTATATATATATATATATATATATATAAAGAGAAATAGATAGTTTAGATAGGATATTTCAGCACTAGAGGGGAGGTATGAGTAATAATATTTTATTATTAAAGGAGGTCAGTGTAATTTACACTTTCAAAATTTTAGAAAAAGTTTCAAAATTTTAAAAAAAGTTCTTGTAATTATGACAAATTATAGGGAATTTGTGTAATTTACTAAAAAAAAAAAAAAAAGTATTTATCTTAATTTTGAACTGTTGATATATATATTTAAAAAATAATAATTTTAAAGTGTACACTTATTTCTAGTCCTGTTCTACACCCTTCAAACCTTTTTGAAGGAGGGGTGATATCATTTGGTTAGAGCAGTTTCAATGGTTTGCGCTTCGGCGATTCTGGGCCAGATTCCGCTATTGGACTCCACCAATGGCCTCGCCAAAAATTGAGCCCACCCAATGGGTCGCTGAAAATCGCAATTCTCTTGCTGGGCCGCAGGTTTGCAATGCGGCATCAGTTTTGTTTTTATTTTTTTATTCTGGTGCAGAACAGTGTATTAGCCCAGAACATTATTCTTAAGGCTCTATTTGCCTTCAAAAAAAAAAATCGAAAAAAAAAGCCAAATTTTTTTTTTTCCTCAAAATAATTGAACCAAAGAGCCGTTAAAATACTGTTTAGCTGACATAAACAGTGCCTTAAAGATTTTTTTGGACAAAAAATGTTTTAAAAAAATAGAGAAAAATGTTTTTTTATGAAAAATTTACTTTTTAAAATATTCCTTCTAACATATAGCCGTTTTAGGCACTGTTTGGCTGACCCAAACAGTGCCTTAACAGATATATTGGCACAAAAACCTATTTTTTAAATTTAATTTTTTAAAAAATAATTATATATATATATATATATATATATATATATATATATATATATATATATTAAAAAAAACCTTTCGAAGAGTGTTTTTTAAAAAATAATAATTATAACAGTTATAATAAATATTGTATTGTTTAAATTTTTTGTATGATATAGCCGTTTTAAAAATATAGTCGTTAGGAAAAAGTTTAAAAATAAAATTTATCAAAAATTTTAAAAATATTAATATTTTTTAATAGCAAAAATACACCATTAGAGTATATTCGGTAACTAAAATTTGGAGATTATAAAATACTAACGTGGAGTGGATTATTGAAAAATAGTGATTTAAAAAATAATAATTATAATAGCTATAATAAATATTGTATTGTTTAAATTTTTTGTATGGTATAGCCATTTTAAAAATATAATCGTTAGGAAAAAGTTTAAAAATAAAATTTATCAAAAATTTTAAAAATATTAATATTTTTTAAGAGCAAAAATACACCATTAGAGTATATTCGGTAACTAAAATTTGGAGATTATAAAATACTAACGTGAAGTTATGAAAAATGTTGACTTGATTATTGAAAAATAGTGATATGACAAATTCGTGATATGACAAATTTGAAAAGCTTATTCGAAGAGCCCATTAGAGACGCTCTTTCCATTTGATGTTGGGTTGCTATATAGGATCCACATCATTCTAGATAATATATTAAAAAATAATATATATATATATATTAATAACCAAAAATTCGTACACATCACTCACAATTTTGTTCTTGTGACACACCATTGATTTTGAGAAGGGGAAGGGATAGCACTAGCAACGAATAACTTTTAAAAAACACAATGCTTGAGCTTTATCCTTTAATAGTTGACCTCGATTGGACTTCGTTTGGAGATGCCACGTATGTGCTTACAAACACCTAGTCCCGCCTACTAACTGACACGTGTTTTTCAAAATTCAACGTGTCGATGCTTGCGGACCTTGAAGCATTCATAAATACTCCTATTCTGCCACAGAATCTCACTACAATCTAATCCGAAGTGCTGTCCGAATTCTGTATCCTACAACAACGCGATCACACCAACGAAAGGCGGAGATGAGTCAAGAACAGCCCCGACGGCCTCAACAAGCCGAGAAAGAACCCATCAAGTACGGCGACGTCTTCCAAGTCTCCGGCGATCTCGTCTCCAAACCCATTTCGCCGCAAGATGCCGCCATAATGCAGACTGCTGAAACCACCGTTTTTGGAAAGACCCGGAAGGGTGGTCCCGCCGCTACTATGCAATCTGCAGCTACCCGCAACGAGAGAGCAGGTCTCGTCGGCCACACCGACGTGACTGACGTCGCCGGAGACCAAGGCGTCACCGTCACCGAGACCGATCTTCCCGGCACTCGCATCATAACCGAATCAGTAGCCGACCAGGTATTTCTAACTACTATTTTACCTATTCAATGTCCATTTGACAGTGTTAAGTTCAAAAATAGGTCTCATTCACTGTAGAAATCTCTTGGATCAAACAAATAGATTTGAGATTTCTGTATTTTCCTTCTAATATATATATATATATAGATACACACAATAACACACACCTTATATCCTATGTATGTGAGTAAGGATCTCACATCCGATTACTCTTTATAATATTATATATATATATATATATATATATATATATATATATATATATTAATTATGATTTGAAAATTCCATTTTTCAATATATATATATATATATAGGTAGTGGGACGGTATGTTGAACCTACGCCAGTGCGGCAGCAGACGGTAGGTGCAACAGGGGTTGTGCAGGCAGCGGTTACTATAGGTGAAGCACTGGAAGCCACAGTACGCACAGCCGGGGAGAAGTCGGTGGACCAGAGCGATGCAGCGGCAATTCAGGCGGCGGAGATGAGAGCAACGGGCTCAAATGAACTGACCCCAGGTGGGGTTGCAGCGGTAGCTCAATCTGCGGCGTCTCTAAATGCCGACATCATTAATGAAGAGGACAAGGTCAAGCTAGCTGATGTGCTCACGGTACGCAAATAAAAGCATCCACCATAAACAAAAATTGATCGGTTTTTATAAGTTTATATTTTTTTTAAAAATGGTGTTTATGATGCAGGGTGCGGCTGCTAACTTGCCGGCGGATAAGGCGGCGACAAGACAGGACGCGGAGGGGGTGATGTCTGCGGAGCTGCGGAATAACCCCACCATGACCACTCATCCGGGTGGAGTAGCGGCTTCAGTGGCTGCTGCAGCTAGGCTCAATGAGCGCTCTGCTTCATGAAGTACTCTATCAAGTTGTGTGTATGCATGAGATAAGCGAGATTTGTCTACAATGTATAGATATGGTGTTAGAGAGAGAGAGAGACAGGCTTCATGAAGTACTCTATCAAGTTGCGTTTGTATGGTGGTTATGTTATCTGGTTTTGGTCTTTGTAATATTACTCGAGTTCAATTCTATGTAATTAGTTTTTATCTTCTGGCTGCAACATTCTTTTTTCTTATTATTTCTCTTCTTTTCAATTATTTATTTAATTTTTTATTTTTTTGGGAGCAAAATTTTTAGACATAGGCGTGTACTATTTTTTTGTACAAAAAAACAGAAATGATAAAAAGGTATGTACAAAAAGTGATACTTATGTGTTTAAAAGTGTTTAAAAGTGGTATTTTTATATTCAAAATAAAAGTATTTGATGACAAAAAATAATATTTATATGCACAAAAACATAGTACTTATGTGTCTAAAAGTGATATTTTTTGACAAATGAACAGCTATTGCTATTTTTATTTTTATTTTTATTTTTTTTATTTTTTATTTTTATTTTTTCTTTCAGGTTAATCTTTGAAACCCAAGCTCTGAATTAAATTTACACTGCCACAGCCGTCTCCCACTTCATCTTCTATCTCTTCTCCCTGCTCCCTTCTATGGGAGTGGGGAGGTGATGTTTCTCGCCTTTCACAGGCTAAATAAACTCGGCGTGTAATCGTAAGTACGTTATGTGGGTGCTTTTTACGCCGTTTTTGTTTTTGTTTTGCTAGATCTACTTCGATTTGGCTTGTTTTTGGCCAGATTGAGTGGATCTGTGTTTCTTTTTTCAGCTAGATCTTCGGTCTATGTCGATTTTTTGTTGTCCCGACTAGATGTTAGATCTATTTCGGTTATTATGGTCCCCCATTTGTGCGAGGTTGGGTGGTTTTTCCACCAATCGAGGGCACCTTGTGAATAGAACTTTGGAGCAGTTGTCTTGCTGATGACTTGACCTTTGTATCACCCCCGTTGATGCTTGTCTCATAATGTGGCTTCCGTTGTTCTTCTCAGTAAATCTGGAGCTTGGTCTTCATTTTTCTTCTTTGTGCTTCAGGTTTTGTTTGCCTTGCCTTTGTTGCATCTATACTGTCCTTTGTAGATGTGCTATGTAGATGCCGTATGACTGTTCTCTTCTTGCCAGGAAAAAAAAAAAAAAAATGAATAGTTTTTTTTTTCATGTTCACGTTAATATTTTAGTCAACTTCATTTTTTTCAAAATTATGAGCCTTTGATTTTATTAAATAGTAAATATAATCATTAAAATCATTTATATGTAATAATCCCAAGAATATATATAGTTGGGCCCTTGAAATTTGAAATCTAAAAGGTGATTTTCTACAACAGTTTTTAAATTATGTCATGAAATATGAATAAAAGAAAAATATTTTTTTTAAAGAAAATTATGAGAAAATATTATTTTATTATCTGACTTCCCATACCATAAAAGGGCATTACTGTAAATCCATTAAAAAAAAGTGATTATGGAAAATATTTTTCTTTTTCCTTTTTTTTTTTTTTTGCTATTTTCAGACTTAATATTTAGTTGGCAAGAAATTCAACTCACGACACCTTGTTTTTTGGTAAAAGTTTATGAAGTTTTGGTTAACGCCACTTAGCAAACAGTCAAATATTTTTTTTACATTACTCTGGCCATATATGAGGTTTTTAAAAAGTGTATTGACACCCATCCAAACCTGTGAGACCATATAAAATTACTTTTTAATCCTTTTACATGTTAAGGTGTAAACAAACCGATAACACTTACTTGCACAATTCGAAGTACAAAACTACCCTAGCTTCCATACACATTTGTTTGGCGCGCACACCAAAGTTGCACAATTTACAGGACCAAGAATAGTGATGGAGTTTGATACTCGGTGCTTCTATCCATAGTTCATGGTTGCCGGAGTTGTTTGCTCTACGCTCTTCGCTGGTTGGGTCATCGTAACTCTACGCCAATCGCGTTGGCTCTCGGATTCATCAATTGCATCTTTATTCACGACCTAGGTTTTTGTTTGTATCAACTCTCGACCATATTGGGTTGCATTGCAATTTTGAACCCCAAATAGGAAACCCTAACCTTGACATGTTTCGCAACTTTCTAATTCTCTGTTCTCAACCCTATTGGATTGCTCCGCATAACCAATCAAAACTCTCAACTCTCAACTGAACCCCATTTCTAAACCTTTTTTTTTCCGAGCTCTCCACCGACCACCGCTAGCTCCTCCAACGCCGAGAAGAAGCTCCTCCAAGAATTAGAGAGAGGGGGTGACAAAGAGAGGGATTACATAGATTGGGAATATCGTACTCCAATTATCATCCAACCAAGAAATTTATCTCTATTAGTTGCATATTGAATTCCGATTTTATGACTTCTTCGCATCTCTGGTTTGTGGCCCCTCCCGCCGCCAGAACTCGGACTGGTTTTAGAACCGACCAGATTCTCACTTTCTGGAGGCAGCCCGTTTCCCAATTTAATTAAGGCTCAGAGGTCTGATGTTAAGTGCTCTCTCATTTTTCTTTTTCTTTTCTTTTTTTTTTTTGGTTGCCGAGAAATGGAAGGAAAGTAAACAGGGTTTTTTTTTTTTTTTTTTTTTTTTTTTTTTTTTTTTTTTTTTTTTTGGGAAAGTAAAATGGAAATTCTTTTTATTTCTGTTTCCTTTTGTTTTTGTTTTCATGAATGAGGCACTTGCACACAACTACCAGATTATTATTAGTATAGCAATGGTCGTGGCGAACTCAGAAATATAGGGATAGCAATTTGACCCGCCCTGCCCCACTTTGTTTTTGGAGAACCGTTTAACTTATTTGGGTTGGAATGGTTTGATATATTAAAAATTCGCCCGGATTTGGTGCAGGAGAGGGGGAGGTCGCCCTACCCCATTTAGATACACAAATTACTTAAGTACTCTTATTTTATTAGTATATATATATTTCCGAGTACATATATTAAGTATTCTACATAACAATATTAAAGTAACAAATGAATTTGATTAGAAGGAAAGTTGCAATGCTGAAGAACTGAAGATGAGGGGAAAAAAAAGGGTAAATCCATTTCAACAATAAATAAATAATGGTCTTAAACGGGGTCGGGCGGGTACCCGCAAAGGTAAAAATGTTAAACAATTGCAGGGATGGGGTGAAAAGACCCCCCGTTTTTGCAGTTTCGGGCGAGAATGAGGGCAGGATTTTTAAATGGTTGCAGGGGTGGGGGAGGGTACACCCGCCCAAACCCACCCCCGTTGTCATCCCTAATTGTGAGTAGGGTTGCAACTTGGGCAAGTTGGGCGGGCTTGGCACTCATCTCGGGCTAGGTCCATATAGAATATCTTCAGCCCAAGCCCAGCTCGAGCCCGCCTTAAGCCCGAGTCTAGCTGCCCAAGCCCAACCCATACATAAATCAATTAATGCTAAACCCGTGATTTGAACCTAAAACCCTTAGTATAAATACCAAGCACACTACCAACTTGGCTACCACAATCTTGTGACTTAAGTATAATCGTAAATATATATAATATTTTCGGGCTCGAGTTGGGCTTCGGGTTTCATCCATATCAACCCAAGCCCCGCCCAAATTGAATTCGGACTCAAAATATATAGCCCAAGCCCAAATCAAAATTAGAAAAATATTGCCTAAGTCCACAAAATTTCGGGTTGGGCTCGGGTTATTTCGGGTTGGGCCGGCCCGAGTTGCAGCCCTAGTTATAAGGGTTTCTGTGTGAGGGTATCCAACTAAATGTAGATTGATAGTTTTGTCACCCTAATATTTTTTGAATAAATCAAATTACAAATTCATGGGCATTTATGACATTTCAATGAACAGGAGGTGTCAATATAAAGGGTAAAGTACAACACCACCCCTTGAGGTTTGCCAAAAGAACACACAGATGAAACTTAGCCTATTTTGGGACAAAGACACCCCCTCAAGTTTGATATAATTACCAAAGACACCCCAATGGTGATGAATTGACATTTTTGTCATTTGACTTTTATATTGACCAATTTTAATATTGAAATGACGATTTTAACCTTATACACAAAACCATTTCTTTCCTTCTCTCCTCTGTTCTCTCTTCTTCCGCCCCCAAAACACCGACACATACTCAGTCTGTCACACAGATACACACATATATAAATACACACACATATATATATACACACCCACACACATATTTATATGTATATACAGATATATATATACACACACACAAGGCAGCGACGGTAAGCCGCCTCTCCTCCATTGTCGACCGACTCTAAATCCTTCGAATCCGACGAGGCCGACTCTAGATCCGCGGCCCGCCTTCAATTCCATCGCCGTCGTCTCTGCATATTGCCGACCACCATAACGTCGCCGCCGCAAATCACCGCCACCACGGCAAACCGTTCCCAGTGCTGCGATCTTATGCCTGTCATCATATTGTTTTCATGGCAGCCTTTGCTGCTGGATTGGTGGTTGTGGATTTTGGTGTGGTGGCGGCGCCGGTAGATCCGTGTCCCGCCTTCGATTCCATCGACCCATCAGGTTGTTTCCAAAACCCACTGTGTTCTTCGTCTCTCTCCTCATCCCCACCATTAATTTTTCTCGCTAAAAGACACTGTATTGAGCTGCGAATCAGAATACCCATTTGAGATTGAGGCCCCTTGTTGAGGAATCGAACATGTGTTTTGCGAGAATGGAATCAGGGGATTTAGATTGAGACCCATCTTGAAGAACATTCTGAGAAAACCAAAGAGAAAGAGAAGGAAGAACCAAAATCTTGGGTTCTTCAAAAGCTTCGCCTTTGAGCTCTTTGAAGATTTTTTAGGAGAGAGAAGGAAAGATTGAAGCGAAGATGAGGAGAGAGAGTTGATTATCTAAGAGGGAACTGAAATGTAATATTGCTTCTTTGACTTTGCCATTTTGCACACAGAGAGAGCTTAGGGAGAGAGGCTCTGTTGGTGATGAAATTGTGATGTTAGAAAGCTTTTAGAGAGTGAAAGTAACGGGTTTAGAGAGAGAGAGAGAGAGTAAAATGGTGTGGGCGGTGGGGATGGTGGTGGTTTTGGGGGCTTGTATGTGTTGGTGGTTGTGGAGATTGGTGCGGCGGCGGCGGCAAAATCTAGTTGTAGGATTGACTGGGTGCCTGGAGGATATTTGGTCTTTTAATTATTTTGATATTTTATAATTAAAATTAATAAAATAGTAAAGGGTGATGTTGGCTTTTCACAAGTTTTAAGGCTTTGTTTGGCTTGCAAATCCCATCAGGGGATGTCATTGTCCCAAAATAAGATAACCTGCATTTGAGTGTCCATTTGGCAAATCTCAAAGAGTGTTGTTGTACTTTACCCCAATATAAAAATTGTTTTGACCAATCGCTGAGTAGCATTGACCAAAATCTCGGTGCAATTTAAAATTTTATAGATATATATATATATATATATATATATATATATATATATTGGCGACTGCTACCCAAGAGCAATGATATGCATCTCGAATGTGGAGGCGAGAACACGAGACTATATTTTGAATCAAAGTTTCATCTCTCTCCCGCAAAACAGAATTCCATCTTCTCCTCTCTCTTTATATGAATATGAATATGTAAGTTATAACATTTCTCTTTTAAGCTTCACTGCTTACTCTATCGAGTGTTTTCTTACCGAGCCATTGTCAATAACAATGAAAACTGTAGAATTTTGTAAACAGCAATGGACATGCTACTGTCTTAATTTCGTTTGGCTAAATAAATTTGATGTGGTTGTTTTTTAACTATGTCAAATTTTGAGCCTAACTAAAATATTGGACCCAAAAAGAAAACATTACCATATTAGGTCCGGGCCCGGGCCCGGGCCCAAGTCCAACCCCAATAAAAAAGAAAACAGATTTATCAACAATCAAAAACCTTATCCTCTCAAACACCACAAATCTCCCAAACGCTCCAAAAACAACCAACCACCCCCTCATTCCCCCCCTCACACAACAAAGCATGGCAACACTTCATTTCACTACATCTCCTTCCTTCTCCCTCACTAAACCCAAAGCCCCCTCCAACAACCTTCTCCCCGCACTGCAACTAAGCCACACCCGATCCCGGTTCGGCTTTTCCCGCCGTTATTCATCCCTGACCATCGCGCACTCGTACAAGGTGGTGATTGAGCACGAGGGCCGAGCCACCGAGCTCGACGTCGACCCCGACGAGACCATCCTCTCCAAGGCACTGGACAGCGGGCTGTCCGTGCCGCACGACTGCAAGCTGGGCGTGTGCATGACGTGCCCGGCGAGGCTTGTGAGCGGCACGGTGGATCAGAGCGAAGGCATGCTCAGCGACGACGTGGTGGAGAGCGGGTACGCGTTGCTGTGCGCGTCGTACCCGCGCTCCGATTGTCACATTAGGACCATCCCTGAGGATGAGCTGCTGTCAATGCAGCTAGCAACTGCTAATGACTAGATCATTGGTTTTTAAGTCTGTGCCATTGGTGTACCTTTTTTCGGATTATTAATTCATGCTTTTAAAGAGAATCAGATTACGTAATTTTTTTTTTTTTTTTTACCCGTGGGATTATGAATTATTGGAGTAAGATAGGTTTTGCTTAATTATTGCTAAATGTTTTGTAGATTTCATTTTTAAGCGTACCATGTGAGAAATTGATCAAGGCACGGACCTACCTGCAATCCTCCTCCCCAAAAACGTTGCATTTTGAATAAATTGCCTGATCGAAGAGTATTGGTCGGTCATGTTTGCACTATAAAGGGACATTGCATTTTGAATAAATTGGTTATGTTTGCATTATAAAGGAACAAGAGAGTCCCACTTCCAATGCTCATACCCATATATGTAATCAATTTCATCACGCCTTAAAATAATTTTTCTAAATTTTAAGACACATCAACTTTAATTTTTAAAGTCAAAAAAATTACCTACAAACTATGAAAATAAAGCTTGTCTAATCCCATGTTACTTCCTTACCCTTTACTACTATATTCTCTAGTAAGGTGGAACATTAACCATGTAACCATTTGAACAGTAATGTCACATCAGTTTGAATCTCAGCGCTCGACTTTGAGCCATTACAGCTCCCCAAACATGAACCCTAAAAACTCCACAAACGGATTTCCAAACTCTCACTCCAGTAGAGCATCTATCTATTGTAATTGGCACAGCCAAACATACAATTTTTTTTAGCACATATCCTACATGAAAATATATATATACTTCCATTCCCTTGTGCGCCCTAATATTCAGGGACGTAAAACAATGAGCAAACCTTACCCCGAAAGAGACTGCTCAAGTATACTGAGTACCACCAAATTTGGCCAACAACCTTCTTCACTCGTAGGACCAGAATTCAGCATTTCTCGAGAAATGAATGGAAATAGGCAATGAAAACATAATTATTGTAAAGAGTTTCCTGCAAAAGACCTGCCATCAGTAGTCATGATAAGACGAGTCCTTGTTAAGCAGTTTTTCATAATTACTTTTCACAATCACCTAGTACTACAAGTTTAGTCGACATTAAAAATACAACTGAACTTGACGAAGCAAGATGCGGGACAGAGGTCAGGATGATTAAGGATTAACACACACATATCGCTACCATTAAAAGGTTAGTGATTACAAACCATCTAGACAACATTTCAGGCAAGTCACGGTCATGATATCAGTGTCACCATCTTCAAAGATCAGTCATGTCTAACGATAGTAAGCCTGCTGATAAGCTGGTGCCATGCCATTGCCATAGCCTCCATATGCTGGATAATTCACTGGAGCTCCTGGATATGATCCCGCAAGGGCAGGTGGGGCTGCTTCAGGTGAGTAAGCATAAGGGGGGCTCCGGCTTCCATACATGGCAGGAGCTGCGGTGTAGGCTGGAATCCCAGTAGGGTATTGAGTGTGTGAGGGAGACCTGATGAATGTGGGAGCAGCTGGGAAAGATGAAACATAAGCATTTGTCGAGCGGCCAGCCTTTGCAGGAGGCATAGGGCCCCCATTGCTAGCTCTTGTTCGTTTGTTGGCAGGGACTGCAACTGGCTTTTTCTTCTCACTCTTGGCCTTCTCTAACTGTTCAAGGCGCTTCTTGAGGTTCTCTGGAGGGAATTCAGACTCAAGTTTGTATTCTTCAATGCACTTGATAACAGCCCGGAGTGCTGACTGCTCTTTCCGTGCAGCTAGGTGCTGCAAAATAATAAGAATTGCCCACTTTAAAATCCAGTTTTCCATTCTAATCCGGAACAAGAGGAAATTTATTGCCAATAAGGAGATATAATAAACCTAGAATGAAGAGTTTGTAAACCTGGGGTGCAAGTGTTCTCTATAAATTTAAAAAGTCACAACGTTTTCAACAATAGGATAGACTAACATTAGGTTAACATTAGGTTATCTGCAATACGGATTATGTATAGAACTTCACAAAGACAAACATTACTGAAAGAATGGGCAGACCCATGACTAAAAACCTGGTAACTGGGGAGAGCAGGGAGAACACATGATGTCTGATCCACGGGAGAAAATAAAAATACACAAAGGTAATCAATCCAAATTTATAAAGGTAACTAGAGTAAAAAAGAATAGAACAGAATACAATTAAGGAAGAATGATGCGGTAAATACCGCAGCTCGGCCAGAATTGTTGGGATCCTCCAATATAGAAGTGGCAGCCTTTTTTGCATCCTTTAGGAAAGCCTTCAGCAGAGGTATAGGGGGAAACTTGTCCACGAGGCCAACTTCATAGGTGAAATGCACTGCGTCAACCTGCTGTCCCCTACTAATTAATTCTTCAATCATATCTGCAGAATAAAAGCACCAAAACTCAATTATTTACCATCCCGTCATTAAAATGCAAAATAATTTCTTGTCTCAATAATCTATTAAGATATTGAAACACGTCCAGGAAACCATGTGAAAGACCTAACTAACTGAAAAATCACAGCACGCGAAACTAGCATCAGCAAAGGTCTTGAGAACCATGTCTGGTTAAGATAACACAAAGGCATGGCATAGACGTATAAAACACAAGTAGATCAAAACTTATGAGGATTCTAAATAATAATACAAAAAGGAGAGAGACAGAAGTGAATGAGAGACAACAAGGGCTCGTCATCCAGCGGCTTGAAGCTTTAACAACCAAGAATCGATCCTTCTATGACCCATTTATGCCTATTTTTCATTACGAACACGTTTTATAATACCAAATTACATTAAATGAAAGAAATTAAGAGAACTCAAAACACAATCTACCAAATATCAATTGTATATGCCACAACAATCAACATTTTCACAAAAGGTTAAAATTGTTCCACTCTACAAATAATCTCAAGTACAATAAGAAAAGAAACAAATTAATTGTTCTTTACATTCATGGACGATCCTATGGCATGGTCCTTTTACTATCCATAGCAATCCTACAGGGTAAACAATTTTATAACAATCCTACCACAAAGTTATCCCTCTGATTTTTCAAATGAATTGTATCAATTTGATAAGCGATTTGATAACTTTGGATAGCAGGATTGTACGATGCTACGATCTAGAACACGATTTTGACCAATCAAGAATTTTCTTTTTACCGAAAGAGTGATTGATAATCCAAGTATATATCACAAGTTTACCTGTTATTTATTATAGCCAATGCTAAGTGTTTACAACTAGTTCACGCTGTTTCCTCATCGACCACACATATATGGCAGCATCCATTTATAGAAGTGCTTGAAAGGAGCTGCCAGATATAAACTCTTGCACAGAACACAAACACAGCATCTAATAGTAAAAACTTTTTTGACACCGAAAAGGTATTTGTCCAACAAGAGATTTTACAATGCATGCGGACATACTTTAAGGAAAACTCTAATTCGAACAGCTAGTATTATAACAGACAAGCCTTCAAATGGTCCCTATAACATATATTACTAAGGACCAGACATAAAGAATAATCAATATAAAGATAAATAAATTTCTCAAACTAAATAATAAAGAACTAATCTATTTCAACTTGACAACAAAAAAAGAAAATCATTCCTATGAATCCTATGCTCCAAATAAATAAAATAAAATAAAAAGCAAATCAGTAGTTGGAAATTCTATATCATATATATTCATTCACGTGATCGATCATACAACATATAACAAAGATTATGGACCAGATTAGGGGGGAGGGGATCTATTAGTCAGGTAAGTCCGCCAGCCCCACCACTATAGAAATGTGGTTTTAGGGATAGATCTGGTGTATAGCAAGCCAAAAAAAAAAAAAGAGTTTACCAGTATAAAGATAAATGGAAGGGAGAGAGAAAAAAAAAAAAATAGCAGAACATCTAGAGTATGCCACCACCACAAGTCAAGACTCGAAATCTCTTGATCTCCATTTTCCACAAAAATAAAGAAATAAGAATTCTAGCTAATTCCCACAAAATTTCTAAATATTTAAGGCTACGTTTGGTACAAATAGTAATGAAAGCAAATCGTATATTATCGTAAGCAGAATTATTTGCGACTCGTAAGCTTAACGGTTATTCTTGAATATTTGATATTTTTTTAAGCATTTTCTATATTTTCCATTTAATTTCTCTTTTTAAATTTTTAAATTTTCTCCTTTTTTTCCTCTCTCTCTCTCTCTCTCTCTCTCTCTCTCTCTCAAGTTTTCTTGATAGTTCATTATAAGGGCTAGCACAATGCACGAGGCCCCCGGCACTACGGGGTTAGGGGAAGGTTAGAAGTATGTAGCCTTACCTCTACGTGTGAAGAGGCTGTTACGAAACTCGAACCTGTTACCTCCATGTCACAGAGACGCAACCTTACCATTACTTAATACCATTTATATATTGTCATGTCTAACTGTATTACTGTTCTACACTGATGATAGTCAAAGGAAAAAACTAGTAGCATTCTCTTGTTGATAGTGAAGTAAATAAAATTCAACATAAAATGAATCACCCATATTAAATCACCCTTAAAAATTCAAAATATCATTGAAATTATTACAACAGAGTAACATACAATTAGGGGAAGTTGTGCAACAACAAAAGAAATCACAGCTCTAGTAGCCGCGATGGTTACATTTTTCCTGTATCCCCATAACTTGTTGCCAACACATTGGTCACTACGATTATGTAAAATCAAATTACCTATTCAGAATTTTATTTACCCCTAACAAGTGTACTACACGTCATTGACCCATTATCTTCTCCAACATATATAAATTAACCATTAATACTAAAGTATTAATCTAATAAATATAACGCATACATATATACATACATATATATATATATATATATATATATATATATGCACACTAACAGGAAAGTAGGTCTTGGTAGATCCAAAAGTGTGAAATCTTCACTTAACGTACTGCAGCATTGGCCCTTAAGTGCTCAACTTGGAGCATACACTTAACCCACAACAGCAACCTTGGAGCATACACCACTATAATGACTTGCTATGAAAGATTATTTATTTATTTTTTTGATAAATAAACTTGCTATGAAAGATTATAGCTGAAACAACATTCAAGGATGAAGAGGTAGATGACAAAGTACACTTGGATGGGCAATGAGCACACTCGCTGTGTCTCCAACAACGAAGAGAGACATGTGACAATTGCGACAACTGTTCAGATTTACCAATTTGTGGTCTAAAGAGTAGGATATCTCAGTTGAAATAATGATTAACAGAAAACAATAATGTCCTAGCAATATTCTTTTCGGAACCTCACATTCCAAAACATGATGCACCCCATCCCAAAACACATAATAACCAAAAAAAATATCTTTGTTTCTCAGCCAGTTTTATTCTTTATCAGATAACCAAGAACCAAGAAAATATCAACTTAGATAGGATACGGTGTGTTCTATATTTTTGGAACAAGTAAACCTAGAGCAACAAATTACTAAAAGTCAAATTGAGCGGTTTTGAATTACTAACACTATATATCAAAAATCATTCCTTGTTGAAGGAAAATCACTCCTGTTTTAGAAATATACAGGATCTATATAATCCAACCCCTACAATACCATATCTTTTACTATGTGTAATAATACCATGCTACAATTTCATCACATATAGCAAAACGCATTCTAGCAAACAAAGGCCAGAATGGATTAAGTGCCAGTAAGAAGTTTAGTGCTATAATATTCACTCAATTCAGAATTCATCAAATAATTTCATTATGCCATTTCATATGTTTTCTTTGTAGTTATGAATCTGAATATATATATATATATATATATATATATATATATATATATATATATATATATATATATATTGACAAGTTAAAAATGTAACTTTGTTGGTTCAGCATGGATTTGAAATGAATCTGAATATATTTAAGGACTATGGAGTGGTAAAATCTCACAATTAAGAAGAAGGGACACACACAGACTAATACCAAAGGAAACTTTAAACAGCTGAAGAAACATGCAGAATCTATACAGAACAAAAAATGAAAACCAATCGGGAAATGAGAAAGTAACTAGAGATGGACAAAGCTGACAACATTATAACATACCAGGCATTTTATGACCAAGCCCAAGAGAAACAGCAAGCTTTGGCATTTGCTTCCGCCAAGCAGACCCAACAACGAGCTTCCTATACAAATCAAGATCCTCGTTCTTCACAATACCGAAAGTCAGCAAATGTTGCAAAAACGTATGCACATCCGGCGTCTTCACGTTCTCAATTCCACCTCGCTGGTCCAAGCTCGCCTTCCACGTCTCCGCAATCTCCTTCGCTCGTTCCTTCACCGTCGGCGTCACCAAAAGCCTTGAATTCCCCAATATCGGATCGACCACAACTGGAATCAGCGATTCCAGAACCAAAACACAAGCCCACCCCAAATCATTCACTCTCTCGCTCTTCTCCACCCTCTTATCCACCGGAAACACCTCCGAAATCGCCTCCAACACAAACCTCGCCGGATCGACACAGTCGGCCAAGGACATGGGCATTTGAGCCCTCATAGAGTCCAATTCCTTCTTCCTCACAGTCACGAACCTCCAAAAGCCCTCGGAATCCATCTTCGTACAGTAAGATCTCAACTTCAGAAACAAACCATCATCGTTATCAACTTGGGGCTCAGCCTCTTCTTCCTCGCATTTGGCTTCGAGAGCTACCAGTGCAGCCTCCTTCCGCTCTTTGACCTTTTCGAGTGCGATCGAGACCGAACCGTCGATGGTGACCTCGCGCTTCTGGAGGACATGGAGGGACTCCTTGGTCTGATTATCTAGGGTTTTGATCTTCTTCTTCAGAGCTTCGGACTTCTTCAGTAGATCTTGCTCGATAGAAGAGAAGTGGTCGGAAAGCTCTTTCCACAGTAGTGTGCAGCTCGTCATCAGCGAGGTCTGCCTCTGGAACTCGTCGAAGCTCGGCTGAGTCAACTCGCCGAGCTCGCCCGGATCGGCGATTGAACCCATTGTGTGGTGAGTCAGAGACTCTTCTACTGTCTCTCGCTATCTCCGTGAGACTCTCAATTCAGGTGTGCCGAGACACCGACGAAACCCTAGAATCGAAATGGTAGAGAGAGAAAAGAGGAGAGAGATAGTGGAGGTCTTGTTGGTAGTGGGGAGATAAAGATAGGTCGCCGGAAGGGTACGGATGGATGACGTGTGCGGGTAAGGGATGAACACGTGTAATGGCGTCTGACAAAAAGTCGTTTGGTACCACCGCTAACGTGGGCTGGGGGTGCGAAGGTGGCGCAGGATTAGAGTATGACGTGAGCTGAACAAGGAGGGTGTTTGGATGGTAGGATAAGGGAAGGGGCTGCTTTCTCGGAATCGAAGTCGGATCAAAAAAGAAAGCAAAGAAAATACTTAGATATATAGATATAGATACAGATATAGAGAGAGAGAGAGAGAGAGAGAGTGAAAGATGGAAAAGCTGGGGAAAGTGGGGTGGAGGGAAGTGGCGTGGGCCATAATGAGTGACCTCCACATGTTCACATGGGTAATAGTCAGATAAAGTAAGTACATTGCCGGCTTCAAATTAAAGATGGTATAGTGTACAGATAAGATATACAACACGCACTGTTGCACGGAATGAACGCACAGTTGAGGCATGCGCATATGTAGCCAATGTTACGAATTGTTGTGTTTCGAGAATGGTAATAGTTCAATTCGTGATAATCAAGATTTTTTAGAAGTGATATTTTTATTAAATAAAAGGAGTATAATGTAAGTCATATTAAGTGTTTAAAATATGTCGCATAAGTGCACATTTTAGAGACGGTTTTGAATTGTACTTTGAGATTTTTTTATTATTATTATTTTTTTTTTGGACACAGACTGAGAGAGCAGTTGATAAAAAGTATATTATGTGTGTTAATTTTATATGATTTAGCATAGCAAATTAATATGATAAAAATAAAAAAAAACAAATTAATGGAGTGTATAAGACATTTTGTTTTTCATATACATGTGGTACAATATGATGTTTTATATTCAATTGGTGAATGATGTATTGTTCGGTTCGGTATTTGTATCGAACCGTCTACTTGATTACATAATTAATTTATTAGTACATGAGAGTGTGGCATATGCTATATATGAATTATAAAATTTGTATTATCATAAATGGTTCTTAATCGGTAATAAATGATGAATTATTTATTAACAAAAACATGAACTGGATCTTTAATGTAGAGTTAGAGGTGTGAGAATCATCGTACAACTCGCGAATGACTCTCAAGCATGAGTGAGGTCTTAACTCTTCTATTAATAAGTAGTTGACTTGATTTATTTGGCGGAGTCTATATGATCTAATGACCGATACTTTGGGTAGATATTAATTAATAAATTAGGATTAATGTATTGTCAAGAGTTGCATTAGTACTATTCTATTTTGACTTGATTGATTTGATCACCAAAAATTCGAGGCGATAAAATGTTTTTTATATATTTATTTATTAAATATATTATTTTATCAAATAAATCTTTTACTTGACCAAACAGAATAATTAAGAAGTCAAAATAAAATAATAATTAAATGGTCTGATTGATGGCTTATAGCTTATATTATCCAATAGCTTAATTAAGCATAGAGGGTCACGCAAATTGACTTCCTAAAAATTAATATTCTAAACGGAATACAATTAATTTTATCTAGTGGAATTATAATTAATTAATGGGATAATTGAATTGAGTCAAAGGAGGTTGATAAGGTCAATTATTAGTCCATTGAAGTCACGAAGAAAGTGAGATCCTCACCCATAGCTCTAGTAATAATTTTCAAGAAATTGAGAAGAAGACTAAAGAATTGTAAGAAGTAATTGGGGCACCCATATGGGTTGGAATTTTTTTTTTTTCTCATAATAAGAAAATTTTATAAATATATAATAATAAAAAAATTCTTCATTTAAGAAAAAATAATAATAAATCCAACCCACATGGGGTTGTTTTGAGTAGGACAAACCAAGAAAATTGGGTAAGAGGGGGCAAAAGTGAAAAGTTCTTATAATTTCAGAGGGGGGGGGGGGGGGGGGGTTCCCAACACTAAAATTTCATTGGTATATTATTGTAATATGAAAAAATTTTAGTAATTAGGCTCTTTTTTTTTTTTTTTTTTTGAGGCGGGGGGGGGGGGGGGGGGGGGGTGTGGTAATTGCCCCCCTGGTAATTGCCCCCCTGAAGCCCCCTACCCCCCTGAAGCCTTTTAAGTCCATCCCTACCCATGTTAGATTGTAAGGATTGTTAATTCTCCTCCAAAACATATATAATTGAGATATTCATATATGATAACAAATATGTATGAATTGCACTCCAAGTGACAATTCTAGAGAAATTGTAGGATAAACCTATACTTACAAAATCCCTATATCAATCTCATTCTACAAATTCTAGATCTAGGATTCTTATTTCTCATTTTTTATCAAATGCTTGGAGGACTTCATTGATGACGACATATGAGTGATTCTTGACGATAAGAATTCCACCATTAAAGTATAGAAGCTTGGAGAGATCTTCTATTGATTATACTATACCATTGTGGATTAATTTGTGATATTCTCGTATCATTACAGTAAGTTTTTTACAATTATATATATATATTCTATGGCATGTATTTTCATCAAACCTGTAAGTTTTTCCATGTTGGGTCAAATTAAGCCGCAAGCTCCACTCCTAAAGGTGCCCATTTGAACCAAGCAAGATCATGTCCTTGGGTTTATTTTTATGCTTCCATCATTTTTGAAATTTCATTTCAAAATAATGTGTTTGGTGATGTATTATATAAAGCATTTTTAAATTTTTTTGGTAAAAATCATACTTAAGGCACTTTTATTACTAATTTACTATATTAAGCATACACGAATAACAATATTGCGTGATATTAATGTGAGTATAATCCATTCATATTGCATAATTATTAATTAACATGGCATGATTACTAGTTATAAAACTAGTTCAAATACACTGTTATGACTCAAAAGTAAGATTTATTATTTCAGATATTAGTGTGAGTAACACTATGCGGAATGGATATAGAAGTTTGTATTAAAAATAACCTAGAGGGGGTGAATAGGCTTAACTTGTCCTTTGTTCAATTTTAAAATTATTTTAATTTTACCAAATAAAATTAGAACAACAACCCACAAAGTAAAAATAACATGCATCAAAGTAAATAAAGTTTAAGAGATAACACCGGAAATTTTTACTTCTCATTAATAGATTTTTGTCCATACTCCATAGCCAAGTCATTTATAGTGTCCATCCTTCTCAATTTATCTTGTGACTCCATGTTCGTATCTCAATTATTTATACTTCTAATTAATAGTTGTTTTCTTTTTTCTTATTTAACTTCTTCTTCTTCTTTTTTTTTTTTTTTTTTTTGCTATTGAATGATGCTTCTTTTTTTTCCATATAAACAAATTAATATTAAATTTGTATGTCCTTGAGTATAACAAATTTGGTTGATTCCCTCGTCTCAAGGCATGTGATTAAGAATTTCAATATATATATTGAAAGTCTATCTTTTTAAAATTCACATCTGAATTTAATTTAATAGCGATATTAGTTGTTTCTGATCTTTTATTTTTGTTTGAGTTATGAATATATAATATAATATATACTCAAGTTCAAATTTGATAATTATAATTATTAAATATCAGAAGTTGTACAAACTTTTGGATTCAAGCCTCATGTCCCTTGTGATAGTGATAAATAATTAGAGTGTATATAAGATAAATTTTATGTCAAACTTCTTATGAATATTTGTTGGATGAATCTGCAAGAGGTATGATTCAGTATTTTGTGACATTATATGAATTTTAATTTTAAATATGATCGAGTAAAGTTCATGTTATGTATAATAAGCTGATGGATATCATGTCATGATATTGCATGGTTTTTAATTAGAACATTTACATTGCAACAACAATCTAGTAACAAGATGGTACCAGGTGGGTTGGTTGTTGCTGTTGTGTAGTAGTTTTGATTTATTTAAGGAAATACGATTAAAAAAAAAACATATGAAAAATCATTAGGATAATACAAATACTGAATGGAAGATATAAGCTAAAAAATGAGGAGACTTGGCTTGAATAAGATGACGAGAAAAATACATTCGTGGCGAGTGAAGATTGGTGGGCCAACTACTTACAGGCATATAACAATATTTCTATTTTATTATATGAATTGCATGTATTATGATATAATTATATGTTAATGAAAAACAGGCCCACCCAAATGCAACGAAGTTTCAAGAAAAAGAGATTGAACACTCATACGAGTTAACATCTCTATTCAAAGATTGTATAGCAATAGGCAACTTGGGTTACACACGTTCGCAAGGAATATTTTCAAAAAATAAAGTTGGACCTTGTCGAGTCGAAAAAACACATGATACTCAAGAAGATGCAAATAATGCAATGCATAACAAACAAGAACATGGGGAATTTGATAATAATCAAGGTACAAATAATGCTGGTACAAGTGGCAGGAAATCAAGGGCATTCATTCCACTACTCGAGAAGTGTCGAAAAGTGTCACCGGCAACAAATACGAATAACACAATTGAGAGAATTTGTAGTGCAGTTGAGTCTAAGGCAGCAAATCATAGTGACTGAAGCATAATTAAGGAATGTATAGACTTGTTGAATCAAATTACCAAAGTACCAAAAGGAAGATATCTATACATGTTTGCTTGTGACACCTTATTCTTACAAAAAGATATACAAGAGCTATTTATTGCACTTTGAGAGTACGAGTTACGTTGTGCTTGACTTCAAAATCGACACACGCCTTCAAATACACCTCGTCCATAGTTATTTTTTGTTTCATCTTTTGAAATTACCATTATAAAATTTTTATTTATTTAGATATGGATAGTGTTAATGTGACGTTTCGAATTTTTTGGCATTTTTTTGAATTTTCTAAACTTATTTATTTTTTGAACTATTTAGATATGGATAATGTTATTTTTTTCAATTTTCTTAACTATTTAGATATGGATAATGTTATTTTTTTGAATTCCAACAAAATAATCAAATAGCCACATAATTTTAAAAAAAAAAAACTACATAAATAAATCTCCAGAAATTAGGGGTAATATTACATGATTGAAGT